GAGGAAAAGGTGCGTCTTATGGTCCGAAAAATACGGTAATGCCTTTCATAACACCATTGCCCTAACGTACTTGACAAGAGTGTGTTGCAATCACATACAGAAATGGTACAAGAAACAGAGAAAAATGAATACAATTCCAAACATTTTCATCTAAATTGGTCTCCAGCCAATGTTGATAGCCTTGTGTTTTGATGGCCTTTGTGTTCTGCTCCCAACATCTTGTAAACTCCCAATTCGCTTATGCTTGAGACTAAAGAGATACAGCACTTCTAATCTATCCCTGCCTGGAGACCCTTTTGGTCTAGGAACTATTGTTGGCACTCTTGGCTGAACTTTCATTGCAGATATAACCTCTGAAGCTGTTCACAGAGTTCTGGTGAAGCTTTGCAGCTGCTTTATAGAGTCTTCTCAAAATTCCCCTGAGCTTCATCATGCTTAGATGTTCATCTAAACAACTTTGTTGCTTGTTTTACTGCTTCATTGGTATTGTGATCCAGACCTGGAACTAACTACGCAAGAGCCCAAAGTTTCTGCTGTCATTTTTTGTGGCCACACCCTGAGCATTCCTACTTATACGTTAAATCATGCAAGTCTCTACCTGGTCTAAGAGTTTAAAGAGTTTAGGTAATGTTAGGCAGCTAGTTTTGGGTCTGCTAAACAACAAAAGATGATCTGAAAATTGAATCAATTTTTAAAGGTGCTTAAATCTTTGTTTTTTATGTAAAGCATCCAAATTATAGAAAGTAATGGTCCAAGCACAGAACCGAGTGGTACCCCACTGATTATACTGGCCCAACTGGAAAATTCTACCTCTTAAAACAATGCATTACTTGTCTGACACTGAATTGTGGATTCCAACTGCATTTGAAACTGAGTGGGAAGCATGTGGTAGTTTCATGTAATGTGGTTTATATTAGCGCAGTGTGCATGTATGTGTTTCCTCATACCTTTGTCCCGGTGAAACATAGCCACATCCAAGTCAGTGGCACCCGTATGGCCCAGGTTGTGCTCCAGAGTCTGTCGAGCCAGAAGGTTTTCTCTGCGGGCAGAGTCATTTCAGCCTGTCATTCTCTGCATCTACCTACATCTTTTTTCTCTCTCCCATGCTCCCCTGTATCTTTATCTCATCTTATTTAGTCTCCATGCACTCCCCTGCCCCCATTCACCCTTGTCTCACTCTAATCTGGCTCTTTCATATTCTTCCCAGCCTTTAGTACTCCAAGAGCGTTTCTCAAAATGTGTGTTTGACCGAACTTGTGTTCTCAGATACCCGTTTTGTCTCATCTTCCGTTGCTGAAGATCAGTTCCAATACTCAACAACAGAATAAAAGAGGATGGTAAAAATCCCCCAATTCTTGCCCCGCTCCAAATATCAAGGGTACATCAGTTGCATCCTCGCCCAACGAGACCAATCCCATGGTTCATTGCACAAAGTTCGTTCTTGGAAGCCAAGTTAGCAAGACCACAAGTACGATATTTGCATTCTTAGTACTGAGAAACACCCAAACTGTCCATCTACCACACTAGTACGCACCGTGCACTGCTGACAGATGAGATAGTGGATGTCCCCAGTGTGATACGATGGAGTCCACTCTGCTCCAGTAGAGAGGCACCGTTGTAGGTCGGACCCTGGATGTGAATGCCATGTCCTTTATAAAGCACTCTGACAAGTTTATGTACCTTAAGTTGCATGTGTGACCGAAAAAAATCCACAGTTAAGAGTTATAGACTGACACCTCTTGGAGCATGGAGAAATGCATCATGGGTAGAGGAATTCCACTGTGGGAAGAATGACAGATCAAAAACATTGTGGGATGAAGCCTTGGGGAAACACATGGTGAGTTCAAAGGTCGGTGAAATGCATGATGGCATGAAGGCTAGGCGAAACACCTAAGGGCACACACACTCACTGTGATCTGCGGGGCACGAGGAGGTTCTTCATTCAAGCTCTTCTTCCCCAAACAGGCCAACTTCCAGGCCTCCTGCACCTCCGAGTTCAGCAGACAGAAAACCAAGAGCACCGCCAGACCCTGGTGACAGAAGCACAGTCGCTAAACACACATCAGGGCGTGCATGTCCACTCACGGGGACGCACGACATCCCTATGCGCCCACACTTGCAAGCATGCGGCCCAGGGCAGCCAAGAACACAAACATGCGTGCACCAATATGTACACGGTACCTGCAGACAGCACAGTACAGTGAAGAGGTAGTGGAAGACCAGAACACTGTTATTGACAGCCATAAGACCAAAGAACCAGGAGGAAGTGGCCAGAAGGAGTACTATGAAGGCGTTGCGTACTGTGGTACTGTGGAGAGACACAAACAGACAGGTAAAGGAGGGCATGAGAGAAAGAGAAAGAGAGTCAAAGAGGAAAACGTGAGAAATCCGAAACGACAAAGTCGAAACCTTCCACGGAGAGGTATTAACAACAGCTAGCAATGAGCTAAACATGTTTCACATCCACATGATAATCTGACTGCTATTAAATTCATTCCAAATAAGTATTTACAGTTTTTACAGTGACATTTCACACCATCTCCCAGCAAAACAAATCAGCTTTTACTTTTCTATCTTCAAGGACTTATAAAAGAATCTGTGGAACTTTTCAAAAGTGGGGGGGGGGAAATATTTTAGGCAAGTAATTTTGAATTAGGAATTTTCTAAATAGTGGGTGTGAAAATGCACACTTAAACCACACTTAGAACACCCGCGACAGGCTCTCGCAGTCCACTTGCCTCCATCACTGATACTCACAGCACAGATTGCTTTTTGGTCTCTTTCTGAGTTGGACTGCAGGACATTCGTGCCACAATCAGAAACATTCCGCCATTCATCTGCAACATAGACAGAGGGCGGTGCTGTGACAAACACCGACAGACAGGGGGCAGTGCCGAGACAAACACCTATAGACAGGTTGCAGTGCTAAGACAGACAACTACAGACAAGAGGCGGTGCTGAGACAAACAGGGGGCAGTGCCGAGACAAACACCTACAGACAGGGTGCAGTGCTAAGACAGACAACTACAGACAGGAGGCGGTGCTGAGACAAACAGGGGGCAGTGCCGAGACAAACACCTACAGACAGGGTGCAGTGCTAAGACAGACAACTACAGACAGGAGGTGGTGCTGAGACAAACACCTACAGATAGGGGGTGGTGTTGAGACAAACACCTACAGATAGGGGGCAGTATTGAGACAAACACCTACAGACAGGGGGTGGTGCTGAGACAAACACCTACAGATAGAGCACAGTAGTAAGGCAGACATCTACACACTGCAGTTGATGCTGAGACAAATACTAACAGACAGGGGGCAGCACTGACACGGGCAGTGAGACAGGCATTATAGGAAGTACCACAATAACAATCCCGATGGGTCCAGCAAAGCTCCAGATGAGTTTGTCTTGGACAGAAATCCAGCAGAAGTCAGGGTTTCCGTAGCCCTCGGGATCCAGTCCCACAGCCAGACCTGCCGAGAGAAGAATCTTTAACTGCCAATGCTACACTAGTGATCTCAACATTACACATAGATGGATTTAGAAACCTTGGGATTACAATGAGTCCATGTTCATAGCTGCTGTGTTATTATGTGATAGTTACTGCCCTACAAAGGCACACACAATAACTGCATACTTCATCAAAACATGATATTGGGCTATGATACTTACTCCATTACATCTCAGTACAAAGTAACTTAGTTCAACTATGCTCGGTTTTCAATCAGTACACTATCATTTACGTACTGCTACTACACATGAGTGTACTGTCAAAAAAGACCTATTTTTAAGCCCCTTTTCTCAGTGTCAGCATAATTGCTGTGTTTTGCCGTTGTAGGGCAGAGTTGCCCAAACCTTAGTTCCTAAACCACCCGGCCATCTTCATGCACATTCCTGCGTACGTGCACTTTACCTGTTATAATGGCGGGGACACCCCAGCCGATGGCGTAGTAGAACCTCATGGCGCCGTGGTCAATGTTGCGCGCCTCAGTCTGCATGCGGTAGATGTGCAGACCCTCCACGAAGAGCCAGGCGAAGGTGGACATGAAGAAGTAATGCAACAGGATGGCGATGACGGTGCACAGGAACTGGGGGAGCCGGAGAGAACGCGGTGGTCAGAGGACATGCTTACACCCCCCCCCCCCACACACGGAACCAACAGACACACACAGACGCACACAAACCTGGTGTTCGGTCTGGTTGATGCCCAGCAGGAAAACGAGCTCGGAGAGGAAGGTGGCAGCGGCCATGTTGGAGTGGATGCTGCGGGTGTTGGACTTGAGGCCACGTAGGCAGGACAACACGACGACAGTGATCAGCAGGGCCAGCAGAGATGCGGACAGAGATGCGTACGTCACGATCGCCAGCGTCTCCAGGTTCCCCTCCAGCTGCTGCTCCCCGAGGGAGGAAACGTGGCACAGGTGAGGATGGAGAGGAGAAGAGAGAGAAGGTGTCACTCACATGGAGAGCCGTGTTCACACCTGTCTGACACATACTTAGCACTACCCCCCCGCTCTCCACCACCCCCGCAGCTGAAGATATCGTCACATCAGGTGCCGAATGTGACTCAAACTACTTTCTACATCCATTATTTTAACTCCCAGTATTTCAGCTCATCATTTTATGTTAGGTTTTTAATGGTTTTTAATACTGAAAATTAAACAGGTTGTTTAAAATGCATTAAATATATATGCTTGTAAATAAGTTAAACACTGAATTAGTAAAAGATATTTATATATTTTGCACCATTATTTCTTAATTAATTAGGCATTAGAAATGTGTTCTGGATCCATCTTAGAACACCCTTCCCTGATCACTAAGGTCAGTACATGACTGAGCAAATGATAGACATGTTACATATTGCCTTTCCACATACATTTTAATCTAACCAGCTGCTGATGAGACTTGGTGGAAGAGTTTCACTGAAATCAGTGTATCTGAGTAGACAAAGGTTTAGTGGTGAAGGCTGGTGAGGTAGCAGAGGGGTTACCTCACGATGAGAGCTGTCCATCAGCACCCCAAAGGTGCCCAGCCTCTGACACTGGCATCTCACATGCGACGTGTTCCTGTACACGACAGTGCAGTCCTTCACAGTCCAACAGCCCCCAGTGTCGGCCCTGCACAGAGGGAGAGACCAGCTTGCTCACACACATTCCTAAAGCTGTTTCTGTCGACACATCCTGTCAAGTCCCATTTGCACATCACTCATCACAGCCCGCTCCTGTACCATACAAACTGCCTCGTACCAGTATGCACATCACTCATCACAGCCTGCTCCTGTACCATACAAACTGCCTCGTACCAGTATGCACATCACTCATCACAGCCTGCTCCTGTACCATACAAACTGCCACTACACATTCACACAGAAACAAATCCCTTGTGTGTGCCACACACACACACACACACACACACACACACAATTGGCCAATAAACTTGATTCTGATTCACACGCCACAATGTGGGAGCGCTAAGGTGCACACGCACATCATACTTTCACAAATATATTATCTTAAGATCTAGGGGAATAAAGGTTTTTTTAATATTGATTCAAATTTTTATTTGACAGGAAGAGGAATTTGGCAAGTTCACACCCACACACTTGTGATATCGTCTTAGCCATAAGTGTCCTCTTTAAGGAACAGGACCTAATAGAGTGGCATGTACAATATGAGAACTATGAGCCAATCCACATTGTCCTTTACATAGGACAAAAATTAATTGCTGGTCTGGTTGGAGCTTTCTCAAATTCAGAATGCTATCAGACCTTGTTCCCCAATCTATTTGCATCATAAAGAGTTAAACCCAGACTACTGAGACATACCACACCTGCACAATCAGTGGACTGCAACATCTAAGCGTCACCTGTTTTTGCTACATTATTGCACATTTAACAGTACATCGCATTGGTTCACAAACTGTGGTATGTGTGGTACTCGGAGTCTAGAAAACCAGAGTAATTTATTACTGTGATTCAGGTTCCTGTGATTTTTTTCACCCATATGGTACTTGGCTGCTTTGGTTTGAAGCAAAGTGGTATTCGGTCTAAAAAGTTTGAAAAGCACTTGTCTATCGTGTGCTTATCAGTCGAGTATTTGTGCATCTCCAGAGCAACTGTGCCATGTCACACGTCCCGAATGGAGCACACACTTACTGCCGGCTGTGATTCCACTGCACGCACAGTGGCTTGCTGCGATTGGACGTCTCCAGCAGGCGGAATTCCAGCAGCAGGGGTGACTCCAGCAGGCCCTCGACAAACGAGCGGTTGTTGTAGACGGACACGCTGACGACGGGTGAGTTCATCACAGGGTGGCGGGGCAGCCTGTGGGGGCAGGGCGCTGTGACAGGTACTCGGTAGTGGACGCGCAGTGACACGCTGGGGGAGGGGGGGGGGCAGACATGTGACGGTAGCTCATACCTGACACCGCGCCGATCCGCGTGGTACTTGGCGGGAAGTACGCCGCCCAGGCTCCGGTAGATCAGCAAGATGACGATGCTGACGGGCGGGTCGGGCAGCAAAACAGGTCGCTTGTGGGGGGTTACTTCAGCGCTGCGATTGGCCGGGATGCTCATTTGGGCAGGATGAGGACTGGGAAGAGCTGGGGAAAGTGGGAGTGAGAGGTCAACGTAGTACTGAGTTTATACAAAATAGGGGAGGAACGGAAGGATTTACTACATCTATCCATCTGTCTTCAAACTGCTTATCCAGGACAGGGTGGCAGGGGGTCTGCAGCCTATAGTAGGCACACCCTGCATGGGATGCCAGGCCAGCAGAGGGCACACATGCACACAATCATACACCGTGAAGAATTCAGAGATGCCACTCAGTCTATGTGACACAGATACACCATGCCAACTCCACACACACACAGCAGAGGTGACATTCAAACCCAATCCACCTGCACAACCCACTAGTTTACTATGTCTTTTTGAAATTAAATAGCTAAACAAATAAGAAAGCACACCTGACTGTCCTTGTGGCACCAGGGCAGTAGGGGGCAGCACCACATGTGTGTGTGGATCCCAGAGAGTCTGTCCTCGGAAAAGACCATTGTGGTAACGGGGAAAGCGCCTGCGGACATGGGTGTGGTTCTCCACGCGGTCCAGGTTCATCACTGAACAAATCGCAGGGTTAAATATTGGACAGCAGTACTGAAAGGACGAATCACAGCACCTAATATCGTAGCGCAGACTATAGGGCCTGATGATGATACATGAGGACCCAAAAATGTGCACTAAGCAAAATTAGAAAGGACAAAACTCACCAATATTGGGTGTCACTAGGGCCACAGGGTTCAGGTAAGTCAGCTTCATGTTCTGGGCGAGGGTGCGAGTGTAGTCCTCCAGCAGCTCCACCAAACCACCGGCCCCTCGCTCACCAACAACACCCTGGCCTCGCCACAGCCCTGCGGTGCCCAACCCCAGCAAGGCACTGCAGCCACGCAGAACATTCTGGAGGAAACCAAAAGACAGTGACCAACCAGAAAGCAGACTTATCAAATAAAAATGTGTAAAAATCTAATAGAAAAATAGAAAAATCAACCAGAGTTAAGCCATCATTTCTCAGGCATTTCCTCCCTGAAACCACCCAGCTGATTCCAAAAAATGTCGCTTAAGGAGGAAAGGAGGCCATCCGGGGTCAGCGAGCAGCCATTAACAATAATAATAATAATACAGTGGTACCTCAGTTCTCTAACTCATTAGAACTCTAATTTCTTAAAAGTCGAACCAACCAGTTAAAAAAAATGACCTAGAACTCGATCTGAATCTCAGAAGTCAAACCGTGAACGCCGACGTAAGATAACTTGTACCCGTGGGGAAATGAGTCACGTGGCACGTCTCTCAGCGGAAGCAAAGGGTAACGCTTCAGTCTCAGCCTCGCATTCGCTGTGATAGCGCTGTGCATGTTTACACTAGCTGAATACATATATTTAGACAGTAAAAATACATTTAGACAATGATAGACAGTAACAGTAATTATTATTATATAATAAAATACATTTAAAAATAAAGATATCATTAATTATTTTAATATTAATAATAATAATAAATTTAATTATAATAATATTGTTGTGCCGAGCGGGGACGGAATTGAGACAAAGGCGCAGACGTCAGGGTATCGGGGAATACAGGGTTTAATTACAGGTAAGGCAGGCAAAACGCAGACGGACTAATGACAACGGGGATCACACGGGGATCCCACACGGGGTTAACGAAGGGACACGGAAGGAGCGGACGATCGGGACAGGACATACATATTTTTTTAACTTTACACGTTGTTTGGATACATTTATTTTCTTACTTTACAAATTACTGTTTTGATAAATGTGCTTAGATGTGTTTAGTACAGTATATGCTCTTGTATTATTCAGGTCATTTTGTATTTAAATGGTAAAAAAACATATTTAGGTGTAATTTTGGGGGGCTGGGATTAATTAATTGGTTTTCCATTATTTCTTATGGGGAAAATTCGATCAGAACTCGAACTTTTTAGGATTCGACCTGGAGTTCTGAATGGATTAAGTTCAAGTTCTGAGGTACCACTGTAATAATAATAATTGATACCTTATTGATCCCTGTGGGGAAATTGTCTTTATGTCTCCCTCAATTTGCTCTTTTTTTGTAGAGTAAGTTGTCCGCAAAGGGCAGTCACCCGTAGCGGGGCCCAGAGAGCTGGTGGTTAGGGTCTAATGACGGGAGCGGGTAAAGGGGGGCTGTGGCGGTCACGCTTACGTCGTTGAAGTGGGCATCCTGCGTGGCAGTCAGGCCAAACCCGTTCTGCTGATTCTCGAAGTTCAGCAGACGGGAAAGCAGCCGGTCTGCAATCTGCAGGTCGTTGCCATAGAGACGGGGCGTTGCCTCGGTGACGTCGCGCAGCTGATAGGCGAGCTTCTTCTCCACGATGGTGCTAAGGTCTGTCTCGTTCCTCTCCACGGACTCCAGCTTTATGTGAAAAATGCAGGCAAACAGAAAGGGCTTATTACATATAAATAGATGCATTTTGCCATAACTGGGTACTGAGTGCACGGCTGTAGTGAGCTGGAAGGCTATCCTAGGCAGCACAGAGCAGGGGACACACTGAACATCATGCTAATTCTTCACAGGCTATTTTGATACTGCCATATCTTCTTGTGTGACTGTCTTTTACACTACTGTCATATTCTCTCAACCTGTTGTAACTGCTGACTTATTACCTCACAATTATGACTCCTTACACTTTATTATTATTCATCATTCATTTTTTTTATCCTTGTAAAATTCTCATGGCATATACATTTACATATTTTTATTTATTATCTAATCTTTATTATTTTTATTATTATCTTTGTTATTTATTTTTATTTATTTTGTTTTGCCTACTATCATGGGAGTGGCATATTACATTTTTTTGCACACTGTAAGATGACAGTAAAGGTATTCCATTCTGTTCTATACACCGATTCACTGGCACAACGTGTCAGACTGTAGGAGGAGAGTGTAGCACCAGTCAAACAAGAGAAGACGTGGAGAACATGCAACCCCCACATGCACATGAGTTGGGGGTGGGGATCAAACCCACGGCACCTCTCACTCAGCCATAACACCACCCTTTATAGACACAATGAAATTGATCATATCACACATGCTGCAAGACTGCAGGTGCTAAATCGAGCCAGTAGGTGGAGCCATATTACCACTGCATTCAGTTCCACAAAGGAGGGAGAGGTGCAGTTGAAGAGATCGGGGACCAGCCAGCCCCTTTCCGGATCGCAGTGCCGGATCGCTGTGCCTAGAGGAACAAAACAGGCTGAACATGCAGAAAGACAAACAAACACATATACACACAAATGCACTTTACAAAGCCGAGTGAGCGGGGGCCTGGCTGTGCTAGGAAGAGGAGTCATGTGACTGCTTTTGTTCTTTTAGATTTATGCAGCCTGTCCCTCTTTTATGTCTGAACATGTAGACTGATCTGTTCATTCCAGCGCCCAGTAACCCTATGCTTACCCAAACACCCACCCTGACAGCTGTTCTGTCATATTCCCTGATGCCCATAATTGAATTTCATCGATTATATTTTGGCTATATCCAAATGGCTCTTCATATTGTAGTTTTTGTGTGTTTTCCTGCTGGTCTTGCTGACCCACCCCTGCCGCATTACAGTGACCCGTGAGCAGGAAAAATCTGTTCCCAGGAAATCGACTGCTCCCTGTCCCATGTGGTCCCGCTCACGGACTGGAGGGATTTGGATTTTATCAGTGAGCAGGAGAGTGAGGTCATGCTGTTGATATAGCACTGAGTGATAACACCATCAAATTGGTAAGTTTGCTGCTAGATGTGCTGTGTGAGCTGATCTGCCCCCTGTGGGTCTGTCACGGAGCAGGGCACCTACCCATGGAGCCCTTGGGGCACGACACAGCTGCGGGCAGGCCGAACTTAGTTCTGGGCCACCATATTCCAAGCGTGATGGTCTTAGGACAGCCGTCATAGATGACTGAGATTAGAGCCAGAGAGAGAGACTTAATGACTGTATGGTACAAATGATACCAAGGCAATGGTAGAGAACATCGAAAATGCAATTTAATATCACATGATTAAAATAAATAGAAAAATCTAATAGGAATGCTTTAAATGGAGATTATGGTTATAATGTTCTCACTATAAGCATAAATATGTCTGATTGTACTGCTTCAGTGTCGATACAGTTAAGCTATTACTTTTGTTTGTTACTTATAAACTCTGTTTTTAAATATTAATTTCATCCATTTTCCAAAACTGTAAATCCAGTGCGGCGCATATTATATGATCCTAAATTAATTAGGCATTAATTATTTATTCATGGTTATATTAATTGATGAAAAGTAGCAATAAATATATAATAATTTAATACTGATTCACAATCAAATTAAAAGAGAAAGAAGAAAATGAAAAGCAAAGATCTTGAAAGGGACTCGTGAGCGGTGACAGTGGGGGCAGCGGCGGGGACTCACTCTCGCAGCCTGATTGGGTGACCTCGGCAAAGTGGTTGTCACACGCGTTGCACTGGCGGCCAATCACACCCGGCCGGCACTGGCATTGGCCGCTCTCCAGGTCACATGACCGTGAGAAGGAGCCCACGGGGTAACAGTCGCAGGGCCGGCAGGACTCGGTTCCTCGTGGGCGATAGTGGAACTCCTGAGAGGGAAGAGGCGAGAACAGAGTGCGACTGTGAATGAACCTGCAGGGATGTGAAACTCTACCAGTACAGAAACAGAAATGGTGACTAAATAACTCCAGTTATTTGGAATAATTATAAAGAAAACCACCTATCACTGTTCAAGGACATTCAAAGCTGTATATTTAAAAACCTTTGGTCGGTGTTATCTTGCAGTGACACTGTGTACTGGTTTTAATGGGAGTGCAGGTGTTACTTTGCAGTGACACTGCTTACTGGTTTTAATGGGAATGCCAGTGTTACCTTGCAGTGGCACTGCCCGTTGGTCTTGTTGCAATCCGGGTCGAAGCCTTTGCTGGTTTCACAGTTGCATGGTCCACATGTAGGACTGCCCCACCAGCCACGCGGGCACTGCTGGTCACTCCTGGACACACACGCATGCACATGCGCACACACAGATACACAGCAAGGACAAACGCACGCCGATCATGAATAAACACACGCCATATACACATACACACACAGACACGCCAAACATGTAGGCTCTCTGCTGCTGGTAAAATGAATTGTAGGAATTCATCATCCAGTTCAGATAATATGCTCTTGGAGAGCCACTGCAGAGCTGGATACTCATTACCGAGTCGACGTAATGCCACATCTGCCACAATGCCGGATATTAATACGATAACGTGAGGTCAAGAAAGCGACTGTGCTGTATTTCATACACCTCAACAGAGTAGCTCTTTAGCATAGTCAAGCGAAGGCACTGCAGTGGAACACTAAAGCAGAGGGACACAGGTGCCTGTATGCATTGCCATCTGCGCCAATTCAGGCCAGCGCTGGCTGGGGGAGGCCTGCACTGGCACGAGGGCACAGATGTGACATGCTCACTTGTGCTGGCAGTACTGGCCGTGGTGGTTGTCCCCACAGTCGCACATGTAGCCGTGGGAGGAGGCTGGCTTATGGTGGCACTTGGCGTTGTTCTCGCAGGGGTTCAGCTCGCAGGCATTGGTGCAGCTTTTACCGTAGTAACCTGCACACATAGATTCTTTGTTTACCATAGGCACTGATAGGCACAGATAATTCTGCACACCAGTAAATTTTATCATGGGATTCTCAGCCCCCTAAAGAAATATGGGGGAGGGGGACAAAGGACAAATCACTAAATGGTTTTAGAATAATTGTTTTTCAGGGGGGCTGAGGGTCTAGAACCAGCTATGGGATCCTCTACAAGCAGATACCTTTTACCATAGACTTGCCCACTGTCAGTCTTCACCACAGAAACTACCAAAAACAGCTCAGTACTGCAGAGACCTCATGGACCAACAAACATCGCTTAATATCCTTCATTCAGTTTTTCTCTGTGCTCTTTGCTGTTATTTCCCTTGGCCCTGCCAAATCCGAGGGCCTGTTCTGATGTCACACACATACGTCTCTTGCACGCAAGATAACCAGTGGTGCCAGCTAATTCATGGTTCATTACTAAATTACCAGCTCCTGATGAGAGAGAATAATTTACAAGCTTTGCATTATAAAAAATTGATTTCCCTCCCGGAATCTTAATACCGGAGGTCTATTTCTAATGAGGAATGCTCTCATGAGAGAGTTTTACATGATAATAAGCACGCGTTTGCCTCAGATACCGCCGGTGATCTATTTACACCTCCTCCTTCATCTGTGCCCGCCCCCCCTTCCTCATCCTCTCGCCACATCCATCTCTATCCCTGTCTCTCAGTCTCCAGCTCCCATAATAAATATTCCTCTTTTTCTTGCCTTTGTTTCTATTTTTCGTTCTTCTTCATAAGATTCCTGGAAACCAAGACACACCCACAGACAGACACACATATATATACACATATGTACACAGACAGACGCACACACACACACGTACATGCATAAGTAGACACAGACATACAGACACATATACACACATATGTACACAGACAGACGCACACACACACACGTACATGCATAAGTAGACACAGACATACAGACACATATACACACATATGTACACAGACAGACACACATCCATACCACACACACAGACACACATACATACATATGTACACAGACATACAGACACACACTTGTACACACAAACTCACCTACACCATACAAAATGATACACACACACACACCGCAGATACAGACATAGAGACACACATACATGTACACACACACACACACACACCGCAGATACAGACATACAGACACACATACATGTACACACACACGGACAGACACACATACATGTACACACACACACACGGACAGACACACATGCAGAGTCGTACCTGACTCGCACACGCAGACATGGCCCTCCCATTCATCGCTGCAGCGGCTGTGGGCAGGGCAGGGGGAGGAGACACAAGGGTCCCCCACGTTGCACCCGGCCTCGGCCTTCAGCGCTCGGGTCGGCCGGGGCAGCGGGGGCGGGTCTGGCCGCACCCCTAAACGCACACCCTGGAAAGACAGCAATGCAGGATTGGTCAGTCACACACACACAGTGCGTGACCCTCAGCTTCTGATACTCTGTTTCTTGATCTAAACTGTGCAATTCTTTGATTGTGGATGTAAACACGGTCTTCATGGCCGTTTTCCTTTGTTGCAAGTTAATTTGAAAATCGACCCAACAAGAACCATCGATGCCAGATGTTAACTCCCGGCTGATGTCATTTGTGATGATTCCTTTGAAGGTTTTGTTTGCGGTGGGAATCTAATCTCGTCTCAGTGGAAGTGAAAGCGGGAGAGGGAGAGCTCCTCAGTTCAGGCCGAGGTGTGAATGTACTGATTATGCCAGCATTTCTGTAGACTGGCGGCATGTTCATGGAACCTCACGGAACCTCGCGGAGTGCGTGGACCGACAGTGTGGTACTGGTACGTTAGACGTGTCGCTCTCCTTAAATGTGAGGAGTGCCAAGAGTATGACGCCACCCAGTGAGCCTGAAAGTGATTCACAAACAAAAGCCTGAATCTGAGAAGCTTAGGTGATGTTTGGTTTCCATTATGTACTTTGAAGGAAGGGTGGCACTATGGCTCACACCTCCAGGGATGAGGGTCTGAATTATACTTCAGCTCTGCATGCGATTTGCATGTTCCTCCTGTTTCTGTGCAAAGATGGAGACAGACTCTAAATTGGCCATAATATGTTAGTGCGTGCGAGTATGTGTCCTGTGATGGACTGGAATCCTGTCCAGACCCCCCAAAACCCTGACCAGGATAAGTGGATGGATGGACAGATGGATAAAGAGATGGTGAACAGAGTGATATTTGGAAGGAAGGACAAAGGGGGTCCGGGTACAATAAGAGAAGATGCTGACGTATCATGTTTGTTGAGAAGCCAAAAGACAGCTCACCTGAATGCACCCCCTCACGCCATTCTGCACCTCCCCCGCACCCAGGACTCCGCCCACGTGCAGGTGCTTCACCTTCAGGCCATGGAGCTCGTTCCCCACGATCACCGTTCCCTGAGAGAGAGAGAATACGGTGGTGGGAGGGGAACGGGAGCTGACGATGCGCTGGCGTTAGCGGCCGCGCCGGGCTCACACCCACCTGGAAGAGGCCGAAGTCGAGGCGCACGGTGGCCACGTAGCGCGTGTCGCGGCCGCTGTGCACGTCGCGCAGTTCCAGCTGCAGGTCGTGCCAGCGGCCGTCATTCACCTGCAGCTGGTCAAGGCGCAGGCGCACCGGGCGTGTGGATCCGCGGCTCACCGAGAACACGAGGTGCCCCGTCACCAGCTGGGAAGCATGGGAGGGTGCAGAGGCGGTTTAGAGGAGGCCGGCCGGCACAGCGGGGACATGAACAGAAGGTTATTGGTTCACATCCCAGAAGGGGCACCCACTGTTATCCCTTTAAGCTGAACCACTCCAGCGAAATATCCAGCAGTGTAAGTAAAGGAGAAGGGTGGTATGTGCCTGGGGGGGGGCAGTGTGTGGCTGGGCAGGTGAGGCCTCCACGATTAACTGGTCGCAGGTTTGAATCCCATCCACAGCAGAATAGCGACACGCCTGTTTGGCCCTTGGATAGTGCCCTTAACCATCCAGATAAATGGTCTGACCCTGTGCTTCATTCTCATTATATATGACAGCACATGTCTCAACGAAGAAAAGACTGGATATGGAAACTAAAAAGAATTCCAGCACAAATGTAGTTGTTCAATTAAAATATTATTCATAAATAAAAATCCTTAAGTGCTTTGGATAAAATCTGCTTCAGTGTCAGCTAAGTCAGTGTTTCTAAATCCAGTCCTCGGGGACACGCAGCAGTCCATGTTTTTGCTCCCTTCCAGCTCCTGGTTGGCAGCTGGGAGGAAGCAAAAACACGGACCTCCTGTGGGCCCCTGAGGACTGGTTTGGAAAACAATGAGCTGAGCAAACAACTATAAGTGGTAAACCTGGAGAAGGTTCTGGTGGCTGGATCCAAGCCATATTCAGACCAACAGACAATCAGTCAGGTGCTTCGCAAGGTCGTACCACGGGTGACAGACCTGGAAAAGCAGGCTGGTGTACTGCCCAGCCTGGGCCTGCAGGAGCACGCCGTCCGGGGTACGCGTGCGGAACACCAGCCCCAGGTACCAGGGCGTGGAGATGGTAACATCATTCTTCAGGTCCCACCAGAGGGCGCCGTTTCCCGCGAAGTGGTGCGGGTGGCTCATGACTGTGGGGACAGACGGCGTGAGCCTGCGAACATACGCTTGACTGTGCGGAAAGACGGTGGCACCAAGTGACAAAGTTGTCAGCTAAACACGTGTCACTCTCAGAAAAGAGGGAGTAACACATTCAGCTTTGTGCGTTTTTTTTCCCACCATGATCGTTTAATTCCTTCTAAATGCTCCTCGTTTCGTTCCTGTCTGCCCCTCGTTATTCACGATAGCAGCAAGAGCGACTGCGGCTTTGCACAATAATAGAGCATTTTCTTGAAAGCAAATTTGAATTTGAGAGGGGGGGGGGAACAGGGAAGGAGGAATGGAAGTGGGGCGAAGCGAGAGTCTGCATCTCGCGGGCGTGGAGACGGGCAGCTCACCAGAGCTGCAGTCCTTTCCCCCGAATCCCACGGGACAGTCACAGGAGAAGGTCTCCCAGCTCACTCTGCAGGTGCCTCCGTTCTGGCAGGGATTCGACTTGCAGAATGGCAGCTTGGCGCTGCAGCCTGCCGGGGTGAGAGACAGCACACCACTGGTACCTGCCTTACCCGGGGAGGGGGGTGTTATTGCCACTGCTGCCCCAGCGCTGTGAATCTCTGGGCCTCCGGACTGTACTGCTTGCCACAGTCACAGAGATCAAACACACACCCAGGGACCGCACACTGCTTTCAGTAAACAGCTCCCCACCCCCCCAAAGTAACTGCCAATTGGGGGGAGCGGCTAGTGCTAAGCCCCCCCCCCCCCATACAGAGATATTTCTCATTCCATTATTCCATTCAGGTGACTCCATTTCATGACTTTTTATGACATGGCCAATTTCCTTTAAATGTGACCTTATTCTTGTAAAATATGAAGCCAACACTTGAAAATAAAAGGAAAACAAACAACCAATCATAATATGTACCTTGAAAGAGGGTAATTTATCATTTATACACATCACCACCACAGCGACCCTACACTGAAAAAGCGGTTATGGAAAATCGATGGGTGGGTGTATGGATGGATGCACCATTATGATATAATATGATAGCTTACAGGTATAATTATAAAGGAAATGAATAGCTTAAATGTAGTATTGTAGGGGACAGTTATACGTCTCACTGCTGAAGGAGCCTATACGCCATACTATATATACAGTTTAGATATATTGCTACAGGGTCTTTAAAGCTAAGCTAGCCTAACACTGATATGTTACTAAAGGGCCTGATTATCTGTATGACGTGTGTTAAATTAGGGCGGCACCTAAGCTCTGCTGGAGGGGTATGTCTCCAGGAGCAGGGGTGGGCAGCCCTGGTTTATATACACCATTACATCGATTGTTTATACAGTATTTACAGTTGCATGACGATTGATAGTTTATGTATATCATTGCAGGGGCATCGGATGTTTCTATATACCATTGCATGGATCATTTATTATTTATATACACCATTACTGGGGCCATGATTGTTTATATACACTATTATGAAACATTGGTTGATTATATATACCATTATAGTAGCATCGGTAGTTGATATATACCATTACAGGGGCATTAGTAGTTTGTGACACCATTACATTGCTTATATACAACATTACAGGCACTAAGACTCCAACGCTCCCCACTTGTCTAAGCAGAAATACAGCGGCAGTTATAAATAATCCCAGCTCAGACTGTGCAGCCTGTGCCACATCAGAGCAGCGAAGGGCACAGTTTAAGCGTGAAACTCCCTAAGGTTTGTAGGCCACTCAGGGATCCGCTGTGCCGGCTGACACCGAGCCACAATGTGCCAAAACGGCTGCCCTTAAAGCTCAACCCCGGAATGAGACCCAGGACAATTTGGCCTCAGAGAGACGGTGAAACGTGTCACCTCGTGCTAGTCCCTGCCGACGTGGGACGGGAGCAAATGCTTTCCGGCACTTTTCCGTCAGAGGAAATGCCGTCTCAGGCAAGCACGCTAAAATTAAAAAATGAGGAGCCCCCCCCCCCCCCCCAAGACGCAGCTTCTGAGCTGCCCTACTTGAACACCACCGGGAAGCGATGCTAAGGAACGGCGCTAACGCACATTTCCAAAACGACAGCTTGCCATGGGTATGAAGTCCTCGAAGGTGTAAAAACACCTGCTCATTTAAAAAAGCCACGCCAGCCAAATCCAGTCTTTACGAACAACTGGCTGTATATTTCAATGAAAAGCCCAGACGTGTCTGTCATGACGCAGGCTTCGCTGGAAGCGACCGGGCGATAAAAAAGCCTTCTGTCGCAGAGATAGAGGTGTGCACACTTGGCATCGGCCTCTTGCTGTAAAAAGGAGGGAGGCAGACAGCACTGCTTGCGGGGATTAAATGTGGACCTTGATTCTACAGCTGAATGAAAAGAGAGATTCTGCAGTCCTTTCTTACCACTTAAATACATCATGAAATGCTAGATATTACGTATTCAGTAGGATCCTATTTTTTTTACTACCTATTTAATACAGAAGGATTTAGGTTTACACCTGATTTGACGAGATGTCACATGTCACAGATAAGTGGAAGAGCTTACAATTAAGTCAGCAAGGCATTGAATAGCTACAGAACTGAAATGGAAGAATATGGTGGGCGGATGGACGGCATGGAAGGGAATTGTATCAGCAGATAGAGCAGAATGCTCTTGAAAAAACATATTAAAACTAGTGCACACCACATTGTTTTCTTTTGTAGTTGTACACACACACACACACACACACACACATTTGTACTCATATCTTTGCGGGGATTGCCCATTCATTTCTATGGGAAAAACCCTAATCCCAAAACCCTACCCAGCCATAACCTTAACTATAAGTAACCAAACAAAACATGTGACTTTTGGCATTTTTAGTTTTTTGATTGCAGTCACAGATCTTTGTAAAATTGAGTTACCCATTGTGAGGACCAAAAAATGGTCCGCACAACGTCAAAATAACAGGTTTTCATTGTGGGGACATGACACCCCCTCCCCACGACACACACACACACACATACACACACACACACACACACACAAAGCCAGGCAGAGGGAAACGCAGGCTTAAAACTGCGCAGTACGCAGACGGAGAAAGAGACTGATGCTGACCGGGGAGCGTGCCGTTGTTAGCGATGTAGCTCGCCAGGTCCAAGGAGCGACTGTCAATGTGCAGGTCCTTCATGCAGCCAATGAACTCCCGGGTGACGAAGGGGAAGTTCTCTGACAGGTTGGGAACCCCGCCCAAAAAGAGGGGCCCCGTGAGATCCAAAGATCTGAGAAAGAGAGAGGGTTGCTTCTTAATACGAGATCGACTGTAGACGAAACGCAGATTAAGCCAGACAAAATGACAGCAAAAAAAGAACAGAAAGCAGACATTTTTATATTTAAAAATATAAATTTTCATGCTAAACCCATCACTAGAATGTGTAATGGTTATAAAGAATGCAGATGTTTTCCACAAAAAAAAATAACTGGGTAACAAAAAAGATTCTGGCTTCTGAAGATGTGGGATCAAAGACCAATGTGTATGAGAAAACTCAATTGAAGGGCAACAACTGGGGGATCCCTTATTGGGAAGTCGGTGGCAGGACCGTGTAGAGCACACGGCGGTGGACAAAGCGGCTGTCGGGTCCCCTCGGGGGGACCGGAGAGCGAGGAGATTAAACGCAGGACGGCGTTTCGAAAGCGGGGCATACCGAAGGAGAGCTCCGTGGATAAAGGAGCAGGGTTATTTCACGCACTATCTACACGAGCCAGCTGAGACTGGTGGGACTAGTAAGCCCTAATACCCACAATCCCCCACTCACTCACCGCACCGCCCACTCTTCACAGTCACCAAGCCCGCCACCCCAAATTAAGCCCATCGCACAACTACAAGGGAAGAGTAAAAAAAATTTAAATAAAAGAATTGAGTGGTGCTCTAAAGTATTCCTTACGGGCGAGTCGTGAGGGAAACACATCAATGAGCAGCAGTGCAGAGGATTTCAAAGGTTTCCTGGAAACGCACCATGCCCCGGCCTGCTTTTAGAGCTCTGCCATTAGCTATACGGTCGGCCCAGCTGCGCGGGGTCACTGGCTGAATGACAAAAGCCATCACTCTCCAAAAGTGCAAACAGTACCTTGATGGAATCAGCCTGGAGATGGGACATGCATGGAGCGAGCTGCTTATTTGCATTTAATTGTTTATCAGATGCTCATACACTGCTTCAGAATAAACCGACAGAGGTCATAAAAATGCTGAAAAGTATAACCATTATATGAACCCTGGCTCCGTGTAGTTAATTGAAGGATATCACAACTGTGTAATACATCAATTAAACACTATAACAGTAATCAATGGATAAGGAATGAATGTGGCCTTCATGATTTTGTGTGTGTGTATATATATATGTGTGTGTGTGTGTGTGTGTGTGTGTGTGTGGCCTCCATGACAGAATGTGCAGTGTGGGCGTGGCATCTAAGGCGGAATGTCCAGAGTGAGGGTTTGAGTTCCACAGCGGATGCTGCGTTCCATTTACCAAGGACGTCAGAAGTCAGAGCTTGGGAGCCGTGTTCCAGTACAACAGGTCGGAAAACCACTTAGTCATACCTAAGCCATACCAGAGACAGCAGAAATTCTTGCTTTGTCAGATAACTTGTCGGATTTTCGATACCACTGTTAAAATGGCCTTTCTCTTTGTCCAGTTACATTCAGCCCAGACTACCTTCAAACTACAAAATACAAGGCTTTTGGCATTTTTAGTTTTTTGTTTGCATTCGCAGATCTCTGTGGGGACCTGAAAAATGGTCCCCACAATGTCAAAATGAGGTTTTAACTCACATTGTGTGGGACATTTGGTCCCTACAGTGAAATATAAACATAATCCCCCCCCGCGCGCGCACACACACACACAGACACACACACACTGTGCAAGCACTTACTTTTTGGAGCTAGTCTGCCTGCCCTGTGCAGCACAGCTGTAGTTTCCCAGCTGCTGGCTGAACCTGAGGGCCACTGCAGTGTCACAGTCGTCCACGCTCAACACAGTCACCTTCTCATTCGAGGGGCCCAGGCTCTCTCCGCTCACGCTCTGCTTGGGCTGGGGAATAGCGGATCACACGTAAACATGTACATAAACACTACTACGTATGCATAAACTTTACTCCGTATGCATACACACAACATGCTCGCACACTGCACAGGCACACACAGCACTATCAGCTGCCAGCGAACGCAATTTAGTTTGCAACACAGAGGTCACATGGGAGGTCACTAACATCACACATACTCACCTTGTTGGAATAGTGGATGTGAACGGTGTGCCAGTTGCCATCGCTCACACCTCCTGGCACGTAAGGGCTCACCTGGGTGGACGATTCACCTGAGCAAAGGTCACACGGGGGTCAGAAGATTGGCTTCCACTTAAAACTCTAACCTAATTCAGACAGGTCCCCGAGACATAACAGATGCCTGCTCCTACCTACACCTACCTGTGGAGTACTTGAGCTGCACCTGCCCGTCCAGGATCTCCAACGCCAAGAAGTCGTGCTTCTCGTTAAACCGGCCATTATACAGGAGAAGGGCACGTCTCTCTAGCGTGGCAAACCTGTCACAGAAACCAAACTCCTGTCTGCTCTGAGGATGTAAGGTTCCAGTGAGGTTATGTAATATGTAGCCATGCCTGGGAGGGGTTAACACCAGGTGTCATTCACTACCTCCTTTAACATGCTCAAAATTTGGTGCTTGTTGTTGGGTTAACTTGGGTGGTGACTGACAGTGTTCAGTCGATCCCGCCCCTCCCTGCAATAAAAGCCTTGCATCCCCCAGGGCACAATTCTGGACAGATACCGGGAGTGTACTCACGAAAGAGAGATGGAGAGATGGAACCTCTGCCGGAGCCCGTGGAACATGATGAAGGACTTGGGGGGGAAAGAGCGGGCGGTGATGGCACAGTAGGGGCGCTCATAACCCCCCGCGGGGCACTCGCAGCGGAAGCCACCCCCAGACACCTCCCGGCACGTGCCCCCGTTACGACAGACCCCCGGCACACAGCGGCCCTGACGCCTATTCCACTCGCAGCGCTCGCCTGTGGGGGTAATACAGGTGGGGGGAGATTACTGATACACGCATTAGATAACATTACTACCACATACAGCACACACAGGAGAGTAACTGTATGCTTACACACAAAGGAAATGACACAATTACATCTTCTATATGTATGAGGACATCCAATTGTCATTTATTAATACATACTGCCATTCATACATAAATGCATACCTGTGAGGGTTTCACAATGACTCCCATTCATTTACACACAATTACTGGGCACATCCCATTAACTCCCAGTCAGACAAACATATGTATCTGTGAGGACATCCCATTGATTCCCATTCAGACATACACACTATTTCTGGGGACATGCCATTGACTCCCATTCAGACAAACACATGTATCTGTGAGGACATCCCATTGATTCCCATTCAGACATACACACTATTTCTGGGGACATGCCATTGACTCCCATTCAGACAAACACATGTATCTGTGAGGACATCCCATTGATTCCCATTCAGACATACATACTATTTCTGGGGACATCCCATTGACTCCCATTAATACGTACACACATAACTATAGAGACGTTCCATTGACTCCTATTTATACAGACATAAAGACAGAGTACAAACACACACCACTGTGCTAACACAAAGCTATGTAATCACTCTCGGAACACCAGTACACAGCTCACTGCAACTGGTCCCTGCACTAACACAGTTTTCCAGGTTGGCCCGCTACTCTGAGATCAGTGCAGCTGGTTGGCCAGTACAAACCCGGTGAAGTATGATACCCGCTTGGCACTGGAAGGCATAGCGGCCGCCGGTGCCAAAACACACAGGGAGGAGGGCCCTTCTCTGGGGACTCAGCCAGAAAAAGTGTGTGTGTGGGGGGGGAAATAAATAATAAAAGGAAATGCTGGGACAAAGACGACATGTGGGGTGTGAAGCATAGCGTGCACTACCCCGGGGGGGTCATCTCTGCCTCGACACACACGGACCGTTTTTTAATGAGTTTGACCCCCGTCGCGTTCGAGAGCCTCAAACGTTAGGGGGACTCCCCCCCGGCCAGCGAGGATAGCTCTAAAAACGGGCCTCGGGACAGAAGAGGAGACGTATGACTCAAGTGGAGCAGATAATTGCACATAATGGCTTGCGCATGCAAGTATGCGCTTAATTACGATGGGTCGTGCAAAAACGCAGCTCGTCTGCAGGACGGGGCGGCCGCTGCCCGTGTTAACAGCTCTTTCAATCGTCCCAAACACATTTAACGCAGCTCTACAATAGCATTAATTAACAAGAGGGCCACCATCTCTTTGGAGGAAACATCCCATTTTTGACAGAAGACTCAGTTACATGTTTCACCTCTGACTAATACTAATTCTGAAATGGCTCCGACAAAGAAGCTGTATAAATGCCTGCTATTAATGCATGTTATACGCTGGCTCTAATATGGGGCTACTACTCCTCGCTGGACCAATATGGAACTCGTCAGTGAAAATCAGACTCATTACTGAGCGTCCAGGCCGCGTCAGTGAACCTCTACAGAAGGCTTCAGGGACCATCAGAGCGTACAGGTGGTCTAAGGCACGAGGTTGGGGTGTGATCCTTTAATGCTAACTGATGCTGCTGGCAGAGACCGCAGGGGATGAAAGATTAAGGGAACAGACTCATAGCCCGAAGGCTTCTGCTTTGAGTGTCAGAGGAGGACCCTGCTACAGTTCTTCATTAAGAAAAAGAAGTATATACAGTATATTACGCAACATGGAGTGGGGAAAAATGTAAAAATCAGAGTGGACTGCAGGGTGGATTGTCTTCTTTCTCTCTCTGCATCCACACAGCCCTATCCTCCCTCACTGCACTGGGGGGGGGAATCTGTCTCTTTCATTCATTCACACCCCTCCCTGCAAGCAATGTTTTATTCATCAAAGCCTGAGCTCCCCCCTGCGGCTGCCACTGCCAGACCCCAGCCCCTGTGTATGACGTCCCTCTGGGCTGCTTTCGTCTTCCTCTCCCCCCCACCTCGGCCTTCCCTTCTGTCCCTCCATCTCTCTCCTCTCTCTCTTTGTAGCTGTCTCCGATGCCCCCCATTGAATCCAACTCAGTTCTGTTCTGGCGCTGATCATAAAAACGCACCTGGGTTTTCAGCACACGCTTAAGACACAACTTTCACAATGAATTGGTTGAGAACAAAAAGAATATGTATATAAAAGGTTAATTAAGAAGGTTCCTTTCGGGGTGTGCTGAATCCGAGGTGAAGCGCTCATGAGATCAGGGATAATGCTGTAGAGCCTCTAATGATCTCCAGAGATGAAGACATTTTCTTTTAAGACCTTCACATCATTTATAGAGGTTGTGCAAGCCTGAAACAAGAGACCCAAATCTGCAATACTGGGCCAATCAAACCTCTTAAAGGCCTCAGCAAATCATAGAAAACCACAAAGTAAACTGCGCTGAGAGGCGTTGGCTACTGTAAACTGTTGGGTATCATCTCTCACATGTCTTGTGGAATTATTGATCTTAATGATTATATACTTTTATATATATAAACAGATCCATCCATCTCATAATTGCTTATCCAGTACAGGGTCACTGTCATCCTGGAGATTAGCCCAGGAACCATGGGGTGCAAGATGGGGCACAATAGGAAGACAGTCCATTGTAGGGTGCATATTCTCTCTTGCACTCTCTCTCTCTCTCTCTCTCTCTCTCTCTCTCTCACACACACACACACAGGTTTGCAATTATACCTTTGTGGGGACTCTCCATTCATTTCTATGGGGAAAACTCTAATCCCAACATGATGGCCTTAACCCCTACCCAGCCCTAACCATAAATAACCAAACAAAACATGTGACTTTTGGCATTTTTAGTTTTTTGATTGCATTCTTGGATCTTTGTGGGGACCTGAAAAATGGTCCCCACAACAGCAAAATAACAGGTTTTTAATCACATTGTGGGGGACATTTGGTCCCCACAGTGTAATATAAACCTAATCCATACACACAAACACACACATCTGACCATATGTTTTTGGACTACAAGGGGAAACCGGTGTACAATTAGTAAAATCCACACATGAGGAGAACATGGAAATCATACACAAACAGCCCAGGGCAGCAGAAAAACCCCAGCAGGGTGAGACCTACAACATTGTATAGATAAATTTAAGTAGAGCAGTTTCCATAATGACTTTTGTTTCCCTAAGTAATTCTGAGCACCAGTGTTCCTCAGTTTATCTACTGTGACGTATAGCAAAGCCATTTTCCATCAAATTAGAGACCAAATAACTTTCTGAAAACTGCTTATAAAATCTAAATGAACAGGCTTGAGAAGAAACTGCAGAAGGTGACGGGGCCAATTTAAAGTGGTGAATATAGTTCGAACAATAGCACTCAGAAAGTAATAAGATTACCCGCCAGATTTTACGTTATTGTTTCAGCCATGCAATAAAAGCTATGAAGTTACAGAGGCTGATCAGTGAAAAACTAAAGTAGTACATACATCTGGACTGTGTTATCTCCTGAAACTGAAACAAGCGTTAGATTCATTCAAGATCAATGCAATTTTACATTAGTTTACAACCACAGCGTGCTGAGAAATGGTTCACGTATCATTGTGTAAGGAAGAGTCCATCCCATAACTTCTGACTCATAAGATGAAAGAGCTGCCATACAATTAAGGAGAATTAAAATCTCCCTAGTCACAAGCAAAGGTGACTGAGGGGAGGCATGATCTGATTTTCCGAAATAGAAAGAGACATAGAAAAGGTCTACCCAAGGAATACAGTACTGCCACTACGGATTCAAACGTACAAGGCTAATAGTCGAAATAAGTTAGCAAGATTATATCAGGTTGAAAAACACATTTCCTCATACAGGTTTTGGGGGTGGAATGACTTTGCTGATAGTCCTGGAATTGGATTCATGAAGCAACTAGATATTAATAGTCAAAACTGGGCTGAAAGAACACTTGAATCTTGAATATTATACAACTTTTCATATGTTGCCAAAATGAGACACAGAAGGACAGGCAGGCATGGGGACTGACCTGTGAAGTCTTCATGGCAAATGCAGGAGTACCCGCCCTCTCGCCGGGCGCATACACCCCCATTAAGGCAGGGGTTCGAGTAGCACAGGTTGATTTCGGTCTCGCAGTAGTCACCGGTGAAGCCGGACGGACAGCGGCAGCGCAGGCCGGCGATGGGGTGGATGGGCCGGAAGAGGACAGAGGTCGAGGACAGGAAGGGGGCGGAGCTATTGAAGCGCAGCACCGACACGCATTTCATGTAGTTCTGGCAGGGCTCGCGCAGGCACACGTTGTCGTCGAACGGGAGGACCTGTCGGCGTGGCGACCAGCCAGAGAGTTAGCTACAGGCACGCACAATCCCCATCTACGTCTTATTGACTGAATGCAAAGCCGGATGCATCAGGATATTAATTATCACCTGCTTCTGTGTTTAGCTGCTCTGGCTCAGGAATCTTTAATGACATTAAAATGGAAACCAGCAGGAAGTCCTCACCTCCATCTGGGCCAGCGACGTGAGCCGCGGTCGACTGAGATACAGCTGCTCCTCCAGGGCCTCGGATGGGAAGAAGTTGCCCCCGGGAAGGGCCGCAGAGAAGCTGACGTTGAGGACGCCCTCTGCCCCGCTGTCTGGCTGAACGTTGAAGACGAAGACATCCTCGGCGGGCACAGACAACACGGTGGACACACCTTCCAGGAACTGGCCCAGCAGCGGGGACAGGAAGCGGTCCTGGGACATATTCTGTAGGCGCACGGTCACACTACTGCTCAGCATGTCCTCGGTGATGATTAGCACCCGCAGGACACACTGTGCTGACACACTGTGGATTCCATCTGGGGAGGGAGGAGGAATCATTGGGTTAGCTCTGCCTACCATAACCACACAGGGCACACTCCTTTCTCATATACACACACACACACTTGTATTCATATGTGTATGATGACCATCCATTCATTTCTATGGACAAGACGCTAATCCCAACAATAACAACCGTAACCCCTACCCAGCCTTAATCAAACAAAATACAGGACTTTTAATATTTTTGATTGCAATCACAGATTTTTGAACTATTGAGTTTGACCTAAAAATGGTCCCCAAAACATCAAAATAACAGGTTTTTTTTTTTAGCATTTTGGGGACATATAATATATACATACCGCCCCCCCCCCCGCCACACACACATGTACACACATGTCGGGTATACCTATCCTTATGGGGGCCCCTCATTCACTTCTATGGGAAAAATGCTAACACTAACTATGACAACCTTAACTCCCACCCAGCCCTAACCATAACCATAAGTAACCAAACAAGATACAAGAGTTTTTGCATTTTTAGTTTTTTCATAGAAGTCACCGATTTTTATAAAATACAGTTTTCCCGTATGGGGACCGGTTTCCTGGTCTCCATAAGGGAAAACTGTATTTTATAAAAAAACAGGTATTTATCACGTTATGGGGATATTGTGTCCCCATAAGGATAGGTATACCGGCTCACACACACACACACACACACACAGAGGTTAAATCAACCCTGAGCTGTCTCATGCCCCCGCTAGACACTGTGTCCAAATAAACCCAAGAAAAAAACTGATTTCTCTAAAGGTGTGACACAGATGAGAGATCAGCTCCCCAGGTGACAGAGGAGATGGAAACAGCAGCACATGGTCCCCCGAAGGTCAGGGCTCTTCAGCTTCCTCATGCCTCACCTACCTTCACAGCACATCAAACAGCAGCCCCAGCACGCCAGACCCCCCTCAGAGTGAAGAAGACCTGCGTCTGCTCATGCCAATAGCACGGTCTATTACTGTGCCCGAACATACCCAACAGACAGCAGACGGCACGGTGGTTAAGCACGGAATTTTAAACTTCACTCAAGTCTGTGGAGAATCTGACACCTTACTGGAATGTCTTCACTGTAAAAGAGTAGAACTGTAACCTTTATACTCTAAAAGAAAGTCCAAGAAAAGTAACCACAATGTCACTCTGCCAGAAAGGTCAAACTTTACAGTGCAAGTCGTGCATTTAAATTAACATACAGAAAATTAAGCAGTGTCAGTGAGAGCTGGTAAAAGAGTATATGAATGTATATTATGCAATGTATAAATGTATAATATGCGTTACCCTAACAAATAATTAATGTAGGATTTTCCCTTAGCTAATATCAGTCGAAGCCAACAATGGCTGTCTTTTGACCTCAGCCAGGTCATTTGGAGGCAGGGGAGGCGTTAAATACCCCATATTTGGAGAGAAAAAAAGGCAATTCAAAGCATGGCACAGCGTTAGGCTAGCGGGGGACATGCTAGTTCATATTGCCAGATAATACGCAAGACTGGCTGTTTAACGGAGCAGGAATAGGAACAAATGCCGGTCATCCGGCGCACTCGTAAGCTTAAACGTTCATTCATTGTTGGTTTATTTATTATGTTAATGCTGGAAATAGAATTAACCTTAATTTAGCAACGATAATGGTGATGACGAATATCCCATTTTCTATAGCCTGCAAATTTCACCGCATACCAATAATGGCGTATTTCAATTGTATTAAAATAATATTAGGAAACTTATTCGGAGACATCATATTACATTTATTTTCATAGACTGCTATGGTCGTCTCTTCTTTTAAAGCCATACCGTCTGAGGGGGCCAGAAACCGGGAGGCATGACGGCGCCGGGCAACTGAAGCCGGCAGCTCGTGCCAGGCGTGGGCAATTCTTTTTAAAAGATCACTCAGTGCTAAAATCCCGATAATTGGTGTAACCAGCTTACACTGGAGAAATCTGGCGCTATCGGCCCACTTTAAGCACCCGTTTCGGCGATGTTTTGCGGGTAACCCTGATCTTAGCATCCGTTAAGACAGGCAAAGCGGATACGCTCAGTGTGAGGCCATTATCGCCCTGGCGCAATAACCGCGGCTCCTGCCACGCGAACACCTATCCGCAATGTTCATTCACTGAAGATCGCGTTCGTTCCGTCGCAAACTCCAGATTCATGCATTACTAATGTGCAGCCCATAGAGAAAATATATACGTCAGTCGCCTCGATGTGTCTGGTATTATTTTACAGTAAGTAGTAAAACAGAATGAACACTGATTTATGTTACCCACTGGATGATTAAAATGTAAGTCTTGCTCATTTCTGTTCATATGTAGTTACTGTATGTTAGCAGAATTGGAGCATCAGGTAGGACTGTGATTAAGAATATAGACTCATAACCCGGAGATGCCAGTTACAATACCGGGAGGAGAACTGTTCTCGGACCCTTGAGAGCTAGCTGTACTTAACCTAAATATCTCCTCTGATATATCCTAAATAGCTGTATAAATAGACAAAGATGGTAAACAATGGTCTATAGAGTTACCTAAGCAAATGTGTGCAACTACATTATGTCAGAGGAAAACTACTGCTATATACAGACAGACATACACTTGGCTTTAGGTGCAAAGATGTAATAGCTTTAAAAGCTATTTCTCAAAATGACAAGAACAGTGTTCAGCAAAACAGTACAGAACAACGCAGCATGGCAAGACTGGCGTTTCAGTGCAAGTGAGCTAGCACGAAAACTTAAATAATATCCATTAGACTAGCCTATAAACCCCCCCTTCATTTGATTTGAAATGGAGATGGGAAGTGCTGGATTGCACAGATAACGATGTTAGAAAGATGGGAAGTAGATGGACCAAATGGTGCTGTGAGAAGGGAAAAGCAGAGCGTGGGGGATGGGTCAGTGTACCAGCTGGTTTGTTTACAGGATTATTGAGAAGCTGACTCTCTCGTGACCCCAGACACACGCGCGCAGATACTGACACCCACGCGAGAGGGGGTTACGAAGTGATGGATAGAAAAATGCAATCTGTTAAAAAAAAAAACTACTCCATTTGGTCCTTATTGGAACTTAAATGCACAATTTCCCCCTGATTCCACAACAATATTCGGCTAATTTTCAGTCCAGCGTTCCTGTTCACCAAAGACATCATGGAAAAGAACCATAGGTATTAAAATGAAACACCGAAGCGTAATTAATGCTTCAAAGCCAACCATGAAAGTGTCCTATTACCGACCACAACCATTTTATAACTGGAAAGACGACAAAGGAAGACAACTCTGCTAGTCTTTGTATTAATTGCTGTGATTTTACTTCAGTAGCCAGCTGACTGATGGGTACACTGTTATTTGTGTTCTTGCAAGTGTATAACTTGCATATCTGGAGCTGCTGCTAAGCAACAGAGTTTAATAGGAAATCCGTTTAATCAACTGGTTTTAAAACGTGATCTTCCCTGCACACTGATTATTTCAAACCAAATTTTCCTAATATTTATTTATCTAACTAGAATTTAATTTCAATATGGAAAATATTTATAAATGCTAATCCTTTGCATTGAAGACCATTCGGTGGATAACAATTTAATTAGTTGTTTATAAGTTAAATTGCACATTTATTAAATTATTTTATTATTTGAATAGGAACAGACACCATTTAAAAGAGTTATACGCTGATGCCTTTTAAATACCTTACAGTAGTCTGCCCTCATCCCTTGAGGGTCTTATAAACAGGAAAGAGAGAAAGAGAGGAGTGAGTGAGTCTGATGAACAGACGTACAAGGCATCATCCTTATGGATTTTGCAGCCCGATCTCTCAGCAGAATGAAATTCATGCCAAGTGGAATTTGACACTGCAGAGCAACTGAGGCACACGTGCACTAGTGTAGTGCTTCGCTTAACCCACGCAACACACACACACACACACACCTAAACACAGGAGAAGGCTTTGAACATTCACTTAAGCCCATGTGGTCTCTCTCTCAGAGAAGCTTATTGAGACAGACAGTCAAAAAACAGCCACGGATGAGCACAGACACACTGAAAAAGAGATCTGAAATTGATAGTAACATTTTAATCTTCTACCTCTGCTCCTGGAGGAGACAGAGAGAGAGCGAGAGACAGAGATGGGGGAGAGAAAATTGAGAAAAGCAAAAAACAAACAGGAAATGTAGGAAGAGAGATGGGAGAAGGTGAAGTGGCTGAGGCTGCCTGATTTGCAGCCTTGCCTTCCAAAGTGCTCACATATAAAGCAGATTCTCCTTCACCAGCTGTCCTAAGACAGAGAAGGACATAGAGCTTAATTCCTCCCACCTTGCCTGCCAGGAAGGGGGTGATCCACCCAATCTGGTGCCCAACCATCTTACCTGTGACGGAAACCAGCATGGTGGCCACCAGAGGTCGGTTGTTGTCCAACTTGCGGCTGAGGCGGATCTCCCCACTGGTGTGGTTCAGCAGCAGCAGGTGTAGCTCGTTGCCGCGATCAATGGAATAATAGAGGCGATCTGAGACATCTGGGTCATGAGCGGGGACCCGCCCGATGACCCCGCTTGGAAAGCTGTTGGACCGGTTCGACACAAAGTTGTTGAAGATGATCTGGAAGTTTTGCAGCTGGGGCCCATTGTCATTCTGATCCACAAGACGGATTCGAACTGTGGCTCGACTGACTAGTGGGGCAGAGGTGGCCTGCACTACTATCACATACTCAGAACGTACCTCGTAGTCCAGGTCAATGAGAGAGGTAAGCTCTCCAGAGAAAATGTCCATCTGAAATATCTCTGGGATGTTTCCTTCCACTATCTGGTACATGATCTGGGCATTGGGCCCCTCATCAGGGTCATTGGCAGTAATCTGGGCGACCACAGACCCAACGGCACTGTTTTCTTTTACTAGGACCTCAAAATCGTCTGCCGGGAAAACTGGAGCATTGTCATTGACGTCAAGCACCGTGACTTGGATGTGTACGGGCGTGCGCTGGGGAGGGACCCCACGGTCTACTGCATAGGCGGTCAGCTCGTAAAAGGGGAGACTCTCACGGTCCAGGCGTCGAACAGTGCGAACGATGCCTGACGTGGGCTCAATGGTAAAGTCTCCATCACCATCTTCACCATTCTGGAAGGTGTACTGTACACGGCCATTTGCATGGGCATCGCGATCATTTGCAGAGATCTGGAGCACACTGGTGAAGGGTGGGGCATCCTCGGTCACAGTGCCCTGGTAGCGTGGGCTGAGGAACTGAGGTGCATTGTCATTGACATCATTAACGTTGACCTCCACATAGGTGGTGTCAGACTTCTGTGGGATTCCGTTGTCCCGTGCAGTGATGGCCAGCGTGTAGGTCATCTGGTCCTCGTAGTCCAGTTCAGTGAGCAATGTGATGGCACCGCTCGACGGGTCAATCCGGAATTGTGGAATGTTGTCTTCCAGGAAGTACGTAATGCGAGCATTCTCCCCCATATCCTCATCAGTGGCACTGATGACCACAACCGTGCTGCCAGGAGGCCGGTCTTCATTGATACTCACGGAGTAGTGGGCACTCTGAAACACAGGCCGGTGAGTGTTGGCATCTGTGATGTTTATGTGCACCTGACATGTGTCATACAGTGTGCGGTCAGAAGCAGTGACAGTGAGCACGTAACGCCGCTCCTGTTTGTAGTCCAGGGGCAGTGCCAACGAGAGAAGCCCGGCCCCACCCACGGTGCTAATGGCGAAGCGGTTACGTGTGTTCCCTCCAGTGATCTGGTAGGTGACAGCACTGTTAACGTCACGATCAACAGCGGTCACACTGACCACACTGGTGCCCACCGCCGCATCCTCATTCAGCCGCGAATAGTACTCCTTCTGAAGGAACTCCGGCCGGTTGTCATTGACGTCCATTACGGTGACAGTAACGCTGGCAGATGCGGAGAGTGGTGGGACGCCATAGTCCCGGGCTTCTACCCCAAAGAAATAATGTTCCACAGCTTCACGGTCAAGTACCAAGCTGACCGTCACCCAGCCTGTGGCCGAGTTGATCACAAAAGGGGTGTCGGAGCTCGTGCCTGTGAGGCGGTATTCAAGCCGGGCGTTGTCAGCTGAGTCTGTGTCGATGGCCTGGATGTGTAGGATGGAGTGCCCCACAGGGGCGCTCTCCAGGACAGAAGCTTGGAACGGCGTGGACACGAAGATGGGAGGATTGTCATTGACGTCGGTCACCTGCACGCTTACGATGCCCGTGTTGTTGGAGAGCGGGGGGCGCCCGTTATCTTGCGCGCGCACACGGAGTGTATATTCCCGTTCTGTCTCAAAGTCCAATGGCGCCACCACCTGGATCTCCCCGGTGACACTGTCGATGGAAAACTGCCCGCGGCTGTTGCCACTGATGATGTTGTAGTGTACAGCTGCATTGTTGTCCTTGTCCCGGTCTGTAGCGCTGATACGGAGGATCTCGGAGTGTGGCCTCACATCCTCACGCACTGCCACCACATACCGCTTCTCGCTGAATTGTGGCACGTTATCATTCTCATCCAGGACAGTGATGAACACCCTCACATTGGAGGACCTGGGACCGGGATCCCTCCCTTGATCGCTGGCCTCCACCTGCAAGGTGTAGCTCTCGGTGGTCTCCCGATCAACAGGCCCACGTGTGGTGATGAGCCCAGACCGGGGGTCAATATCGAAAGCAGTACGCACAGCTGAAGCATTCCCCACAAAGCGGTAACGGATGTTGGCGTTTGAGGGGGCGTCCAGATCAGTAGCACGCAGCTGCAGAATAGGGTATCCCTCTTCCACGTTCTCCCGGATTGTCTCCCGGTACTCGCTCTGCTCGAACACGGGCGAGTGGTCATTGCGGTCCGAAACTGTGATGGCAACCATGGTTGTCCCAGAAAGCCGTGGCGAGCCATGGTCCACAGCAGTGACCCGGAAGTAATGCTGATCCATGACCTCACGGTCAAGCACCTTGGTGGTGGTGAGCATGCCAGTGGTCGGATCCATGCGGAACAAGTCCATGGATCTGCTGTTCATGAGCGGAGCCATGCTGTAGCTTAGCCTTCCTGCATCCCCTGGATCAGGGTCCTGTGCTAACATAGTTATCACTGAGGTACCCGGGGGCTGGTTTTCGGCCACCTGAACCTGATAGTTATACTGCTGGAAGTGGGGGTGTCGGTTGGCTGCACGGCGATATCGGCTGGATGCATTGGGGAAGTCCTCCTGGGTGTCCTGTCCGTTTAGAAACCCTCTCACCCCTTCCTCATCTCCTTTAATAACCTTTTCCCCACCTCCTGCTCTCTCCTCACCCACCCCCCACATCCTCTTTCTGTCCCAGTCTCTGCCTTTCACTATCTGGGTTCTGCTATCCTGACCTTTGTCCTCTGCTTTCTCAGCTGTCATATCTATCCATTTTGCTGCCTTTGTTCTGCTCCTAGTCGCCAACCCCATCCACTCTGTCCTCTCGACATCACTTGCCCTCCCTCCCTCATCCGGCTGTCTATCTCCCTCCCCCCTCTCCAGCTCCTTTCCTTGTCTCCCAAACCCCTTGGCTTGCCCCCCCAGCTGCTTCCTATGTTGACTGACACCTCTTCTCTGTAATTCCTCTGAGTTAGCGGTTTTTAATTGCAGGCGCGTGGATCCCATACTGGTGGTTAAGCTGTTGCAAGTGGAGCTGTCAGCGCCCGCGGCATGGAACCCCTTCACAGGGGCGTCCCCCTGCTGTGAAGGCCCACAAGGCCGTTCCTGAAGGCTGGCCTGTGTCCTGCCTGCACCAAATTCTTTATTTTGCCTTCGGTGGCTCTGCCCAGCACTGTTGTCATTGTTGTTATTGTTGTTATTGGTGTTGAAGGTGATGGCACTGCCATTCATTTTAATATCATTAGCCTTACTTGTAATCCTCCAGGGCTTCTCTGAAAAGGACATGGGGATTGCGAGAGCTGTCCGCTGCACCGTCGATGCTGAAAAGTTTGGCTTGATATCTCTTGGCTTTGTAATGCCAGCTTCTGCAGAAGCAGATGTAGATCTCATGGCTGGATAGTCAGAGAGCTTGATCATGTTGAGCTCTATAAGACAAAACAGAAAAATACGATGATAATAATAACAATAATAGTAACAGTAAAATAACTGTTAGTGGTATATCTGACAATCAGAAGGGAGAGTTATGGCTGGTATAGTCTAAAAGAGGTTAGTAGGTTGCTTGGAAATCGGTCATGTGGATTTGGTGGGACCAGACGATTCGGTTATGTGAGAACAGGGTATAATTTAACAGGATTAGAGTTAGCTTCGTTAGTATCATTGGAAGGATAACAGCGCTACTAGAGGCGGGAGAAATTTAATTTTTCTTTATCGTTTACTGATACAACGGTGCGACTCGTAGAAGCGCTGCTCTTCCATCCAATGGCACTGGTCAGTCTAGAAAACCACTTATGGTTATTAAAGCTCACACGGTCGGTTTTAAATTGTACATAAAATATACACATCTCAAAGGACATATAATCACCGACGGTTTTTGATATCTTTATGCCGTTTGCTGTCGTTTTTCTTAGTCACAAAATGGATAATGGCATAAAAGGTGGACGCGACTTAGCCCAGAAGCGCAACAGCGCGTCTCGAAATTAAGCAGTTGCCGGTGCCGTTTTCTGTTTTTACTGGGACGGGGCATCGGTTCCTTCCTCGCGGCACATGCCGTCCCTATCGAAAAAAACACAGTCTTCGAAGACAATCACGCCGGTTGCCAACAGCAGCGATCGTCACCGACCACCACCTCGCATGCACCCTAAACGTGATGGAAAAATGCCTTCTTGGTGCCAGCAGAGGCGGGTCTTTCACAGCATCTACGTCTCAATCTGTTGAGTCTGGTCGACAGTGGGGCCTGACACTTAAGGCCCGTGCAATGATCGCTAGGTGCACACTAGCACCCTTCCCTGTTCCCCGGTACCGAAAAAGAAACGATCACCATAAGAGCTTTGACTAGGCAGATGTGCAACTGTAAAGGCAAACGGAGAGGCAGTACATGCTGGTCTTTTATTCAAACGGCTTTTGCCACACTGTATCAATGGTAAGGTAGTAAGCTATAACAACGCCCCTTCCCCGCGGGAGCACGTACCTGGCTGGAGACGTCTGAGCGCATCCCCCGGCGCCTGTCCTCCCGTTGCTCTTTGTGCACTGTTGCTCTCCAGACGCCTGTTCCCATGAGATCCTCGGCGCCTAACACAGGCCCGTAGCGGGCATCCTCTGGAATCACACGCCGACTGTAAGATCCACCTCGGATGGACCTCCGGATCACACCCAAGCAGCATCGCAAGCCACCCGTAACTCTGCCTTTTGTCGTGTACAGGAACGGGGTGCGAGCCATAGGTCTGGCAGCAAGAGCCCGCTCTCTCCCCCTGGCTTTCGGCGCACAAAAGGCTGAGGAGCAAGAGAAGCAGGAGTCTTGAGAGCAGGTTAGATTCCAAAAGCAGTGCAGCCATTAGTCTGGTAAGATCCTTCCTTAACCCCCCCTTTCTCCCTCTCGCTTCCCGTCTGATCGCGTGTTTCTCTCCCCCCCTCTTCTCCGGCTAGGTCGCCAGCTCTACGGCCTCAACCCCACACCTTCCCCCGGGCTCCCCCGTCTGTCCGCGGACCCGGTGCGGTCGCATTTACACGCTGCGTTCGGCTGGAGTCTGGATGTGAGCGTCAGGGGCGCAGCATCTCAGCTCCTCATTCAGCTCCAACATGGCTCTCAGCAGACCCCGGTGGTACTATCCATCCTCTCTCTACACTCCCCTCGCCACCCCTCCCCCCCGCTCCCCCATCCTCCGTTCAGATAAATGGGAAACGGAATGGTTTATCCCAATACGGATGACTTACACTTCCCTTTTCTTTCACGCCACATCCTCTTTTAGCAGGTGACTTTTGACCATTTTTAGGGATCAAATTTAGCGTCTGGGGTTATTCATGTGTATGGCTCAACCTAACAACTTAACATTTAATCACTGACAGAAGATGAATTGAGACTACATTAAGCTTTTTAAAATTTTATATAACCAATGTGCTTCATCTGAATATTTTCCTTATATTGTATTGTTTCGTATTATTTAAAATTTATATTATGTTGTTATCGTCATTTAGTAGGTCTAATTGGGATTTATTTGCGGAATTTAACCGGTACTCTCACGGTGATATAATTCGTTGTTCTTCCAATAATTTGACCACTTATGTTATTTCAATATGTTTCTGTAGCTATGTCGGCCAAAACATGGAGTCTGTCGGGGGAAAAAATAAAAACTCCCGACACCATATCAGAGTTAACTTGCCAACGGTACAATACTCGCCTCAGATGATGTGTATGCTGTATATCATTCAAATATAATATATTTAATTTATGTTTATTCTGTATCCAGGGTACAATATCCTGGGACTGAAAAACAATGGAAATACATTATTTAATTAACACTTCTTATGAGATTGGCGTTGGCAAGGTGTCGATTCATCCTATTTATCTACATGTATTTAAAACGTAACGCCTCTAAATGAAATTACATTGGACATGATCTGTTTTATATTCCGCTCTGATTAAACAGCAGGTGCGTGGATTAGGGGGGTCGGAACCGCCCCTCCCCTCTCCTCCCTTCCCTTCCCTTCCCTTCCCCTCCCTAAATCTGTGACCACTCGCTCCACACATCTTTAGATCGATATCCGTCCGGACCTCGCCAGATCTGGTCCCCGCCGTAGGCCCCGAAGACACACCTATTTGGCTACCCAGGTTACCATGGGAACGGAGGCAGCGGGTGTGTGCGGCGCAGGGTTGGGGGGATTGACGCTTTGCCTGCCAGCCACAGTCACACCGTAATTACAGGCTCCCAACCTCCCCCACCCGTCCCCTCGTTTTGACCGCCTCGCTCCCACCCACTGCGCTCCTCCAGCCTCCCTCCTCCCCAAAGGCTGGGCGGCAGGTGGTAGCGGAACAGCCCGCATCTGGCACGCGGCGAAACGGTTCTAGGATGCATATTCACAAGTGGCAGCCGAAGGTTCCCATTGACTGCAGATCGCCTGTTGTCGATATTAATTCGCCATCGGCCGTCCCGTCATTCACAAAGCGCCGCTCACACAACCCCACCCACCCATTTTTACGGTGTAACTCATGGGGGTTCATAGCGGCGACAGCTGCGTGGTGACTTACGTGGCGGGTCCAGCAGCCTGATGGCGTGCTCAAATTAACCAAGCCGGGGAAACTCAAAGCAACCTTAACCGCAACCCATCGCAAAATGATGCGATAAAAGTCGTAATTGAGCATTTCCCGCTTCTACTTGATCATACTCTATTGTATATTCTATTATGGATATAATGTAGTTATGTATGGTTGTGTCAGCTTGTGTTTGTCTCCATCTTTCTTTCCTACACTGCTCGAGATAAGCTTCTGTTGGGAATGATGCCATTAATAATTGGGGAGATATGATTAAAATCCGGTTCATTTACTCGGTCTTCAGTTGTTCAGACAGAGACAATTTGATCATTTAATTACATTTCTGTTAGAGTCGGATGATGGAGCAGTAGGCCAGCGTCATGTGCGTGCATGTGTAAACACACACACACACACACACACACACACACACACACACAGTTAATCAGGTCACAGTGTACAGTATTTAAAAGGGGGGATCTGGAAAGACGAGTAATAAAGCAGGGTGTAATGAACGGTTGATTCAGTGCACATAAATCTATAGTGAGACGTGTATCCAAGTTTTATACACATTTTCTCTTAGAGATGAAGATTACTTATGAATTCGTATGTCTGATGCAGTGGAGTTTACCTGGGGCAGCTCTGTGTCTCTGTGACCCAAATCACATGAACAGGGAGAGGTTTAGATAAGTGACAATTTTGCTTGAATGAGATAATTGACACCTGTACAACACAGTGTTCGATAATAAGCTAATAGAATGGCAGCATACGAGTTAAAATAAAATGCGCTCCTTTCATCATAAAAAATAATACAGTAAAACATAACTTGCAAGTGGGTAGTAATAACACTAAGTGATGTCAGAATGTGGAGAATTTCCTGTAGGTAATGTATGAGGACAGTACTAGGTCAACGACTGTCAGGGGATCCCAAACAGCCTGTGACAAGGTCAGATGGACTGATTTTTCAAAAAAAAAAAAAAAATCCTGAATCACTAGAGTTCAGTCTCCATGTTTACTAAAAAAAAAAAACAATACACAAGATTTTAATTTAGACTGTCCATTGATCATTTTCTCTTACAATTTGTGCAGTAGATATTTTATTTTTGATCATGTTTGACTATATTTGCTACCATTATGCACCCAAAGACTGAAAGAAAGAGAGAATAATAGAGGTGGATGCAGGGGTGGGGGTGCAGTTGGCAACAGCTGTTACATTAAGAAATGAGCTTTGATAGAATCAGCATTGACCAGGTTTCCCGTGTCACAGAGTTTAAGCATTTGGGTGCGTTTTGTTCCAAGGCCATTTCCATCCCCTCTTTGCTCTCTGTACCTCTGTTCATCCTCTGTTCTGCATGGCTCACTCTTAGATCTCCCTTTACTCTCTTTTTTTCCCTCCACTCCCTCTATTGTCTGTCCGACTCTGGCCTTGGGAAATGATTGACAGGCGGGTCCTGGTCCAGGGAACGCTTTGATAGGAAGATGTGAGTGAGTAGGTGGGCACTGGGGGCTGCCTGGCAGTTGAATTCAGCTGCCACCTTGTGGAGATGCAAAAGACTTACACAGCCTGCACTTAAGTAATTCTGGGTTTTAATCATATTAACCATAATGGCCTCTAAATCTTAATGCTTGAATTGGCAATAAAAAATCATAAATTTCCTCTCTGACACAGTTCCTTTTCACATATCCGAAATACATCTCTTGAAAAAACTCCCAGACAGATTAATTTTAATGATTAGCTTGCATACTGGTCTTCAGCACAGACTACAAAGACTTTAACAAAATCCTAGACATGAGGTTAAAACTTAGGTGATACTGTAACAAAGGTTACAGTAAACTTAGGTGATACCAAAACAAAGCAGAAAGAAGTTGCACCCAACACTTTTACATCTAGAGAGAACAAGGAAATAAGGTGGTTGTGTGTGGATTTGGGAAAATTGATTACACCAGAACCATTTGACTGGCACTTATTTTTTTGGCCCATGGAGTGTTTTCTTATATATATTGCATACAAAAAAAATCTTGAAATCAATAAGTTTTTAGCCACATTTCCAATTAGTGCAACAGGGCATACAACTAAAAATGAAAAGGTTACATTAGAGAATTTGGCCTTATTAAAACTGTAATTAAAAATAAATTAAACCATCATTTGTTGCCACTCCCATTCTACAAAATTTTGGCCTATATCATTTTGCTAAACCCAGAATTACTTTTATAAATTAATTAAAAATGTAAACTTAAACATCTAAGCAGTAAATTCAGAGAGGTTTCACATAAACATCTTCATTTATTAAAATTAATCTCACAATATTTATTCTAATAATGAAATCTGGTTCCCCACCTGAGAACATCTTTTGGGAGAAACCTGCATCGACCTGGGAATATTCCAGAATTTGGCACAAACAATGTAAAGTGACATTAGATGCCCCCAAACCTAAGGGGTAATAAATATGGCACAGGGTTAGTGTCTGTATCACAGAATTCTCTACTACCTAAACTCTTTATGGGCCTGTTTGTAAAATAGTACTTCCAATTGTTTTGTGCATAAAGGGGCAGCCAAATATAGGGCTGTAGCACCCTACTAGAAACAGGGGGGCACCTGTATCTACAGTACCCAATGTGTAAACGCATCACTGTAGCTGGCTTAAGGGTCCTTAGCCTGGGTCGTGCTGTTACATGGACTATAGTTGTGGAATCGGAGGTAAATGTAAGGTGTCCAGGGCACAGTGGTAAAGTTCTCTCAGTGCCCCAAGTAGCTGCAGTCGGCAAAACATCTGATTGTACAAATGAGGCATTGGCTCCTGGAGGGAGGGAGGGAGGGAGGGACAAAGAGAGAGATGTCAACAAAATGGAAAGGTGACTGCATACAGAAGAAAATGATTAATTCTGCTACCATTGCATTTGACATTTATTGCTCCTGTATCCTTGAGAAAAAAAAAACCATTAACACTATAAAGTGCAAAACAGCAGGGTGTGCAATCAATCAAAAATTTATCAAAACACAAAATGTGACAGAACTCAAAAATAACAATAAAGCTAAATTCTAGTCACATATTTAAAATGTCCCCCCCTTTAAGCCAAATAAAAATAATAAATTAGGACTGAAAATAGGTAGTTTCTCACCCCAAGGACATGAACTCTGTTGTAATAGGAGCTGAAATCCTTACTAAGAGACACCAGAAACCTGCAGATCTGCAAAGGGGTGCAATACATATACATTAGCAAAATCTGTTAACATTACATACACTGCTGCATGCGCATTACATCACTACTAAAAACCTCACCTGCTCTGTCTTCATGCCAACTCTGGCCCCACCCCTACCTTCTTCCAGGGACTGTCCTAATTGGTCCAGTAGATCAGAAAAAGGAATTAGGTAATTGAATAGCAAAAGCCATTCCCCCTATAAGAAAATAAACAGAAAATGTTAGGCTCATTTCATCTCTAATATAGTCACTACGTACATCATGTAATTTTTTTGTGGTACATTCTCAAATATTCTCAGTGACAAGGTAAATGACGTAATTAATAACACAGAAGAATAACTTTAATTGGTACTACAGACATCACTACACATGTTATAGAAACACACTGTACCTCTTCTTTAAGGGAAGAGAAATCCAGGTGAGATACATTTGGAATTTCTGGGTAAAGGCCTGTGAGAGACAGATAACAGATCTGTTATAGTCTGTATCATATAAAATTACTATAGGTGAACGCATATTCTAGAAAGCGCACTGCCTCGCACCCTGCTTCACTGCATGCTCGTAGCTGGTGAAGAGCGTGTGCAGACGGGCACAATTGTACATGACAAAGACTCCGCCCTTGGGGCCTTTGGTGGACACGCCCCCTTCCCTCTGCACATCCAGGGTCACCTGTACAAAGCCAGAGCAAAAAGCATGAAGTCACTCTAAAATTCCAGTATCTTCACCCATAAACCATTGCAGGAAACCATATGTAGAACGAAGTGAGAGGCAAGGCGCTTTTGGGACATCTCCGTCTCCACGTCGTGATCGCTGCACTCACCGGACTTGAATGGACCGTTGACAGCAGCTCAAACCTCACAGTGGCTGAAGTCATGACCTGGATGATGTCATCCCACGCCTGTCCTGGACACGACAGAATACAGAACTGAGCAAAAGGCCGGTGTGGAAACCCCCTAAATCCCAGAAGCGAAAACCCCATAGTTACCTTCCACTTTCTCCCCGTATTTAATCTCTGAAGCCTCCTTCATCTGTGCTTTACGTAACCTGTTTAAAAAGCAAATTACAATACAAAAATGTTGAAATGAGCACAACTACAATAGACAACTATTCCATTCATTCATTATCTATACTCATATATACCATATATGATTCTATACGTGTCCTATGCAGGGTCATGGGTGTCCAGAGTTTATCCTGGAAGCAACCAACTTACCTCAGCATGTTTTTGGACTGTGGGGGGGAAGAACATGCAAACTCCACACACACAGAGCCATGGCGGACACTCGAACCCCGGTCCCAGTGGTGTGAGGCAACAGTGCGAACCACTGCACCACCAAGCTACCCCTGATAACTGAAATCCATTATGCAAAACTACTTTTTCCTCCTGCAATAATAATTATTATGCAGATAATAATATAAGATTAGTGCCTGCTACTGAAAGCCTATCTGCATAGTAACTAATTAAACGTATGTCTTATCAACTCCTACCTAGAAGTAAACACTATCTCAGTGCAGTACAGTGCAGCAGAGGATGTAGTTAACATTGTGGAGTTGCTTTCTGTTTGCTAATGTGCTACGTGTGTGTAAAGTTACAGAAACAAGGACACTTCAATACTCTGAGTGGCTAACAAGACATTATGAGTGAGGTGACCTTCTTGGTCTCCAGTTCTGGTGAGGTGTACAGCATTCTGTAGACATGCGCTTCAATCTTAAGATGCACCATGACACTGCTAGCACTGGGACACACCAAACACACACACACACACACACACACACACAATGTTACATGCTGACAGTAAGGCACAGACTAAAACATGGTGAAACATTTTTCCCTGACAATCATTTATCTTCAGTGTTACTCACTGGATGTACTTCATGGCGTTAATCTGGGAACCGGGTGTCTTGACTGGTCCACAGACCATGTGTTTCTACAGGAAACAGACCATGACAGGACTTCAGAAAACGAGTGTCTGTAAGTCCTGCAGCACTCTAAAGCTTAATGACATTCACTAGCAATTCTGCATTGATACTTTTCTGACAGCTGGAATATTGTGATTAGTTATTGTCATGACTATATATGGGTCATGCTGGTATATTAAAATTACCTGAAACTGCCCCCATACTGCAGAATTTAGAACTCACGCCCTATCAAGGATACTAACAGATTGTTCCAGGGGTAAAGCAGATCATACTAAAAATATTCAAGGGGGATTCTGACATAGACGTCTTTCCACAACAAACACGGTACCTAGCTGAGGAAATCAACTGCATTTAAAACACAAACCTAATACAGCAGCAAAGACTGCAAGCAATTTGAAGACTGCGGATTTACTTTTGTGTAAAATGTCTTTACCACAACCTCAAAAATGTGAACAGCTTAATACTTCCATGGGCTCTATAAACATTTACCATTTTAAGATAGTAAAATTTCTCTCTCTTTTTATAAACAACTACAGCAACTCTGGCCCGTTACCACACACTGCATTCATACACCCTCTACATTTGTCCGTACAGTGTTGCGCGGCTGTGTAGCACCCCAGTTTATTCTCCACACACTGCATTCATACACCCTCTACATTTGTCCGTACAGTGTTGCGCGGTTGTGTAGCACCCCAGTTTATTCTCCACACACTGCATTCATACACCCTCTACATTTGTCCGTACAGTGTTGTACAGCTGTGTAGCACCCCAGTTTATTCTCCACACACTGCATTCATGCACCCTCTACATTTGTCCGTACAGTGTTGCGCGGCTGTGTAGCACCCCAGTTTATTCTCCGCACTCCATGCTATGCACACCTGAGTGGCCCTGGCTCCGCCCACTCTCCACAGGACATCCACCTGCTGTTGGCGAAACTCATCCTGGGATGAAGTGACATGCAGCACCATGGGGGCCGCACCCTGGAGCAAAAGTAAACAAATTACCATCAGGAGAAGACAACATTTCTCTAACACCGTCAATCAATAGATAATACATTCAAGAACAGTATAATAAAAAAAATAAAGAGATTAGTAGCATCATATTTTTCAGAAGATATGATCAATCTAGTATCCTGTCCAGGACATATCACCGCCTTGTGCTGCCTGGGATTGGCTCCAACACCCCCCTCCCCCCCCACTCTTACAAGAATAAGCAGTTAGAAGATTGATGGATGGAGTAGGTGATGGATTTGCTGCAGGAGGAAAAAAATCCAATATTCATCTGAGGCGGAATGTATCTGATTCTGCAGCTGATGGAAAGTGAAGAGCTTTGCAGCTTCAGAGAAGTGGAGATGTTGGCCCCGGTGGGCTGGGGGGTGAGCAGCTTTAGGTTCAAGTCTGACAGCAATATTTCAGTACGCAAACGGTGTTTTAGTCTTAAGAATGCAAATAGCATGGTCATTTCAGATCTAAACGCACAGATAATTCAGGGGGTTTTGCACCAAGTGTCAGCGTTCAGGAGTTAAAAATGTATATATCACATCAGCTTTCACATCCTGTAGTCATGCAAGGAAGAAATAAACATCAATGAACCTCAAATCATTAATGCTAAATGAAAAATTAATTCTTATGGATTATCAAATGTTACTGGCACTGTTCAATATGAAATGCCATAATTTTACATAAAAGTGTAATTTCCAGTGAAATTACCAGTGTTTCGTATCTGTCTGTGTAAAATGCACTCGTTCTTAACTCTGAGCTACCCTTGTCGACTCACCTTGTCGACTGCTGTCGCTGCTTCCAACTGTCCTAACTGGTACACACTCTCTTCCTGGACTGTGAGAGTAAGCGAGAAAGACAGTCATCACTGTGCATACATCCTATGCACCAGCACTGTTAAGACGTGCCATTAAATATTCAGTGACTGGGTGCAGAAACTGACACTGCAATAACACTTCTGGCTGTATAAGCCAGTAAAAGTGACTTGCTACAAATAAAAATGCTGACAAATGAAATAAAATTAAACCAAGGTATATTTCGGTTTGTTTTGCTGTCTATTTTGGCCAAGGGCCAGTATTAGGAGCATCGTATCGCTGTTAGATGTACTCAAGTACTCTGCCTCACATGCATACAGTCTAGGAACAGAAGATCAAAGAAAAACGGTCCACCACTTCTCACCAGTACAAACCCCAAGGTTTGGGTCATATCCCTGAAGATTCTTCTCCTGAACTGCTTTTTTCAAGTTTATCCTCACAGTCTTGGTCCCCTTTTCACTCCCCCCTCCTTCCATCTCCATTCCTCCACACAGTTCCTCTTCAGAGTCTCTATATGGTGAATTCTTAAACACCCCCCACAGTTCCTCTTCTCTCTTGCCATTGGCTGAACAAACTGGCACCGTGGGCCATTCCACACCAATGGATTTAAGGACACGGACGATTTCAGCTCCCTCAGGTAGTGCAGGGCAGAAAGACACTGAAAATCTAGTAAAAAAAAAAACAAAAAACAAACAGGATTCAACACAACACAGATTTAAATTCACAAAATACACCTGACTGCATGCTCACAGACCCACAAAGGTTTAAGGAACAAATATGTGCGGAGAACCAAAAAAAACTCTTCTCACCCCTTCTTCTTCAACAGCACCGCCTGGTGGTCGGCCAACAACACTGTCCGAAGCTGTCCCAGAGTGATAGTTTCGCAAGACGACAGGCAACGCTTGGGGTAGAGAGCCGGGCAGTTTAACACGACGTGGCCCTGCCCCTGGCCCGACGGCTTTAGATATGGATGCAAATCACCCAGAACCTCCCGAAACACGGACACACGGTCCACTCGCAACCGGAGTCCTTCCACGATCACCTCGCCCGCAGCTATTGGCAGCACTCCGTTGCCTCCCACCGACAGCACCCGTCCCAAAACAGTGGCCGGCACCTGGAACACGCACAAACACACAGACGCATGACATTTTAATTTTTACTCCACGAATAGAATACGCATCTCAGCGATTCAAGCTTAAGCATCATAAAATAAAGCAATCGTGACGCATTCATAGAATTGTCCCACATAAGACATAAGGCGTTCATTTTTGAGGTAGGGATTCAACATGTTTGTATTATACTGCAGCGTCAACAATAACAACGATGAAAATAATTTGTAATAAAATCAATTATTTACCCAATAATAATCCAGCACTTCAGCATTATTAACATAACAGAAGAAGAATGATGGATAATCAGTCAAAGTTATTTATGTCTAGTCCTCCCCGCTGCGAGCTAAAACGTACTGATCCGTGACGAAAACCAAATTAAAACGGCAAAAAAAACGTTACGATTTACCAACCTGGCCGTCTGCATACAGTGTAGTAAGGACCGATGAAGGCGACAAGAAGTCCCGATTTCGGAGATTCTTGGCACTACTTTCCTTGAACCACAGTTTATCGGGCACAGTCGCAGCCACATTCTCCGGCTCACCACGCAGAGCGGAGTTCAGGGCTCGAACCGTGGTACCAATTCGAAAGGGACGATTGTCTGCTCCTTCCATGTAATCCTCAGAGCAGGAATAATACTCAAGTTAGACACTTACAATTTCGTGGCGGCTTCCAACATCAAGGATACCTCGATACCTAGAAATGTCGCGGTTTTTTTTTGCTTGCATCGCAACATGGATCAGGTGACTGCGAATACCGCCACATGCTACAACAGGAACTATACATTGTCTGTTGGTTTCCTTAACACCCAATTTCTTGTTACACACTATGTAACGCCAATGGCTCTATTTATTCGTCACCACACAGGGGCCATGTTGGGTGTGGCATTAACACTAACAGCCACGCCCCCAATATATCTTTTTGCTAGATGGCGTTGAACCCAGTTGTACTACCGTTTGCACAAATTAAATCTCCGTGTTAGAAGAACGGCGAGAAAGGCTTATATGGAAAAATATGTAATTTAATGAATATCTTGCGAAGTACGATACCCAACGAATCATCGGATTTCGCAGTAGATATTGCATGTTAGAGATGGAAATTGTGATTTTTTTACGGAATTACACTTTGTGATTTTGTGTGCATCCAATAGTTTCCTTCGCTTCCAACATAGCTCTCTTCTTTCTTTAATTTTTTCATTTCTCTCCGGGCGGGAGAATCCCCCGCGCATATTTGGATAGTTCCTTTTATGTTCAACAGAATTAGATGTTTGGCATTATTTATATTGCATATTGTATAATTTCATAATATATATTGAGCGTTGGTTAAATCTTTCACATGCAAGCACATCAGTGAACGAATCACTGCAGTGACCAAGAACTTTTCATTAAAAGAAAAAACAGCCAGTCCTGAATGAATGGCACCAGTTTATTAAATGTCATTTGCCTAGGATTCCTCAGCGTTAGGGAGTAACGCTGAAATAGTCGTCTGAAACCATGTTGACAAGCATTAGTGTTCTGGGGTTAAATGTCAGCCTCATCGCAGGCAAGTTTCATTTGTTAAATAAGGTTTTTAAAAAATCGTTATGTTGTTTTTTTGCACAGGTACATGTTATGCTATCTGATCCTCTGAGGAAGTTCCTTTGGTTGGCTTTGTATTTAGGGAAAAAAGCTATGCATCTAAATTGTTTTATTAATAGTTTATAAATGTGCACTATGTAACTAAATAGGTGTTTTACCATGTTCCATTTAGGTAAAATTACATGGCACCTACCTTCCCAGAATAGGACACTGTTTTGGCTTCAGTCAAACCTGTCTGTCAGCGAAGAAATGTTTGGTTTGAAGTGAAAGTAAGCTTTACCCCTAGGCAAGAATGTGGTGCTTATAAAAACCAAGGAAAACACCATTACAAAAATAGTGTTTTTCCTTGTTTTTATTTTTATTCTTCTATGAGGGTCCACAGCCTCCCATGCAGTGTGTATGTTTACAGCTCATTCAATGCTGCAGCAGGCACAGATTACACTGTCCCTTCAAACAAAATCAGTGTGCAGTGAATCGAAAATGAGGCAAAGATCATTTGTTTGACAGATAATGGCTGCATAAATCATTGAGAACTCATCCGGCTCCTTGTTTCTGGGTTTTAAATTTCGACATTGCAGTTTACAGACAGCATATACGTCACCATTAATTGAATAGTACAAGCTGAACATTTCAATAGAAAGATGAGGACAAAGGAAGCAGTGCACTTTATTTTAAAAGTTTAAACTTTATTTTAAAGGATGCATGAAAGTGTCTGCTTTAGACACATGCATCCGGTAATATGCAAATCTCTTTAAATAAGAGTGACTTATTTGGAAGACAATGAGAGAATAGTTGGATACCTGGCAGGCAGGTATTCTGTGACAGTTCTGGTGTTTTGTCTGTATCTGAATGTTTGCCTGAAGGAGCAGGTTTGTCAGGAGTCATGTGAACGACTAGAAAAGTTTGGTTCAATGGCTCCATAATCTTCAGAACAGTCGTTTCTCATAACTGAATGAGAGGGGGAAAAAAAAGAGTTTAAAAATCTAGACAGAGAAAAAATTGTGGTTAAATTAAATTTATAACTAGTAATTACTGTGAATTAAAATCCATATTTAGTCCACGGGCACCATAAAGTTAATAAACTAGCAAGATAATTGCTCTGATCACTTAAAGAAAAAGCTAAGGGTGAGCCCCAGTAAAATCAGACTGTTCCCAAACAAGTCAAATTACTACAGGCACTTGAATGAAAACTATTCCAGTTTCTACAATTTTGCTCCCCCTCAATTTCAAATTCAAAGTCGACGTCTATTATTCTACCATAAATCTACTCTAAGCAAAACCAAAATGGAAACTTGTGAAAACACATTTCGGGGGGTGTTTGACAGAGCTGCGACAAACAATTCTAGATTGTGAACCTTTTCAATCAGTTATTACGGTAACATTAAAAAAAAAAAAAAAAAGTCAACAACTTCAGTAAAGCAGGTGATTTCACACAAAGAAAGTGCTCCACGTGAGAGTGAGCCTGCTCACCTGTGCAAACTGTGGACTCCTCCTTCCATCTGTGCAGATGCTGTCCTCTTTTCAAACTTCAAGTCTCCAGAATACATCATGGCCCTGGTCGGATGCATTTAATAATGAGGATATATGCACACAGTACACATCGCTTCGACAGCCGAGTGAATGAGCGCTTTTGGGAGGCCTGCCGCAGCGCCTTCGGGAGGCCTGCCTACCTGAGCTGGGTGAGGCTCTTGGCCCCGATGTCCTGACAGGAATGCTGGATCCCAGCCAGAAGGTAGGGGACAAACTTGTGGATGGATCCCTTGTCCTGCACTGCACCAGACACTCCCTGTGCCACCTTAATCTTATCACATTCACTGTGGAGCAAAAACAATTCATTCACAGGGCTTAGGAGTGGCAGAAAGCCACACCGAGATCTGTTTTAATGGTTCTCTAGTTCAGCCAATAAGAGCTTTTCTTTTAAGAGCCCTTGCAATCAAGCACTGAAATTACAAAATCTTCTCAGGGGGCAGGGAATTAAGATTAATTTTTTTTTCAATATATTGGCGCCCAAATCAGCTTCTGCTGGGGGGGACCAGCTATCGAATCAACAAGAGACGCACAGCACGAACATAATGTTATGTCTATGAAATGCCCATAGAGGGTAGTGTTGCACAACTGGCTCCTCAGCCAAGCACATGCAACGAATGTCTGAACCCACATTTCCTCTTATAATGAGCATGACTAGTTGCAATATTGACAGTAGGGTAAAACCAACTGGTCTCGCAATGTCTCAGCTCACGTTCCCTATTGGGCCATCAGCCAATAATTTAATACCCAGTACTTGTGAACGTGCGATGCGTCATCGGGTGAGAGGCGGCTTTCATCTCGTCGCACCCCATCCCTGGCACAAGCTACACTCGTAAATCTGTTAAATGCCCGACCAGCAGCACAAACACACTTGAACCCGTTTTTTTTTTTTTTTTTTTTTTTTTTTAAAAAAAAAAAAAAAAAAAACCCCAAAGATAGCTACAAAGCCTCTCCTTCACCTCCCACCGGGGTCAGTCCGATCACATTTCTTTGTTCCTAACCATGGCCTCACAGACCTCGCTTTCATAAAGGCAAGACCGACCATTAGGACAGTACAGATCTGGCCATAGATCCTCCCAGCTCCAAGAATGCACAGACTGTGTACCTATTGTGTAAATAAGCCCCAAAGACACTCGAGAAGACAACTACAGTACTGTCTTACATAAAGTGTGTGGCTCAGTGGACTAAGCCTTTGAGGCTGTGATCAGAAGGTCGCTGGTTCGAGCCTCAGCCTTGCCAGAACAGTCACATGTCTGTGGGCCCATGAGCAAGGCCCTTAATCCCTAGCTCTATGGGCATCTCTATAGGTGGCTGCCCATTGCTGCTCACCTACGTGTGTGCATCATGGAGCGCAAGATGGGCGAAAAGAATTTCCCCATGGGGATTAATGACGCCGCATTATTATTGACTTTATTATTAAAAACCTGCTCTGACCATCACTGTCGACAAACACATTCTTGTGTTTCCCAACCAGCATCCAAAGAGGTGCAGTATCTGCCAAGGACTCACAGTACAGCTTTCAGGACTGGTGATACTGAAGCCTATTGTGCCGCCAGGGCCAACCTGAAAGAGGTATCAGAAGTGCCAAGGCTGCCTACGAGAAATGGTTCAAGGATCACTTCAAACACGATCATTGACGTACACAGCAAGATACCCATCACTGATTTCAAAAGCCGGAACGTCCACCCCCAAGCAAGGATGCCTCAATAGCCAAGAAGCAGCTTTTGTTCATTTTGACAAAGGCAACAGATCAATGCTTCATAGTAGCTACAGTATTCACACTGCTCTAACCCTCCTTGAAACCAGGGGGCAAACATGAAGATGCTTGGGGAAGATGATGAAGATCAACTACAGCTCTATTTTCAAAACAGTCATCCCAAAAAGGTCGGTCTCCAAATCCAACGATCTTATTTTATATATCCACCTTCAACATTATTAAATCATACTTTAGAGCGACTACATTAGAAAGGACACAAAATGAAAGACCACAGGATTGTGCATCGGGAGAGAAAAAGTTATATCAGGGTCCAAGTCTGTTAGGTGCCGAAACACAACATGCTGGGGCTTTATTTAAACAGTGTGACTTCAACATGAGAAGGTGGCACAGAGGACAGGTGGGTACTGAGTCTGTGTGCCCATGTCCTGCTCTGGCTGTGTGTGCCCCTCATATTTGTTTGGGTTTCCTCCCACAGTCCAAAAACATGCAACAGGTGAACCGGCATGCCAAAATTGCACTGCGGGATGGACAGAGATACCGTGCATGGTCCACCCTGCCTCATACATCTTAAAATAGTCACTAGGCTCCACTGGACGAGCATGTCTAGGAAAACTAGATGGAAGTCAAGATGGATTTTCACAGTGCGTAAACCGGAGTGCTCCTGAATACCTGAAGTAGCGCATCTGTGAGCCCAGGTTCTTATCCATGGCGTCCAGTGAGCCCATGCCGCGGTATTTCTTTAGCCTGATCCCATCGGAGAAAAAGTACTCCCCGGGGGCCTCGGTGGTGGCGGCAAGCAGGGAGCCCATCATTACTGTGCCAAAGAAAAAAAGGCAAAACTAATCAATCCAGCGCTGTTCCGCAATCCCCACAGAGAGAAAAGACAAAGCCTACTGTCAAGGAGCAGTGTTAGGCTAATCAATAACCAATGTCATAACTTTTTTGCTAATCATTCTCAAATAGTCAAACCCCTGTGAATGTCAGGAAGTCAAGTACTGAGCAGCCCATTCTTTCCCAACTTGCTTGATCGATACTTTCTAACTGGGAGACCTGACTGTTATACTGTCCGTGGCCTAATCCGATATTCCTCACAAAGTCTCTTAGCAGGGTGGGGAGGGGATGTACCATATTGTTTATTGACATCCTATCCAGGTAATCTCTTATATTTCTCAATGCACGATTGCAGGGAGGTTCCATGGGAGTTACCCGCTACAGCACACACACTTAAAAGATTCAAGGAATCCAAAGGAAAGTCAAAAGCCAATACTGAATGATCCCTGACAGCACTGCAATAAAAACAGACGTGTTTCTGTGATGGACATAAGCATACGGGAAAGTGGACTCCAGGTCCACATTAACACACCCCCCACACCATGACAGATGCTGGCATTTGAACATTATGGTGGCAACGTAGGGAATGTGCACGAGTATGACCAAATGAACCTTGGCGAAGAAATTGCTGTGTGGCATTAATAGAAGGTACAGGCAGTATATCAGCACTCACTTTACCTTTGTGCGTTTAACAATCAGCTCATCATTATCTATGTCTTCTGAGATTGTTAGAAGTGCTTTAGCCGTACATATTACTGCTTTGGTCAGCTTGACAAAAAGGGTAATATGGGAAAAACAGGCAGAGAATTGAGACTGAAACGGAGCACGGAAGACAGGCCTGGGCGAGTTAATGGCACGTTATGAAGAGTACCTGTGGAGGCTCCGAGCGCCAGCGCCTTGCAGATGTGGCCGACCGTCTGGATGCCCCCGTCGGCGATGACGGGGACGCCGAAGCGCCGGGCGTACTCAGACACCTTATACACAGCTGTAGCCTGGGGACGGCCACATGCCAACACTGAGACAGAGAGAAGGGGGGGGGAGGGGGGGGGGGGGGGGGCACGGGGGGGGGGGGGGGGAAGAGAGCAAAAGATATCAATCCGTGGGAGACAGGTG